ACACACACCAACACACACACACCAACACACACACAAACACACACACACACACAACCGGCTCCTTTTGTGGAGGCCTGGATCCGGGGGACCTAAGCCCCTAACCCCTAGCCCCTAAACCTTAAACCCTACACCCTAAACCCTAAACCTGGGCCGTTGGCTCCCTCGCACTCTTGGATTGTGTGTGCTTCGCTTGGATCATGTTTTCTGCGATGCCGGGATCTCGGAACCCGTGACGTCGGGTGTGTGGTCTTGCCTTGGACTCGGCTCTTCCTGTTTCCTTGCCTTGGCTTAGGTTCCTGCGAGCATCATCGCAGGTTGAGAAGCGGAGGGCCCCGATGCCCTCGGCCAGGCCGTGGTTATTCTGACGTAGGGCCAGGAATTGTCGGATGCTCTCCGGTGCCTGGGCAATCAAGCAGCGAAGTGGTGGGTGTGCACTCGGTGTGGGTCGCGCTGGGAACGGCCAATCGAGAGGAGCCTCAGAACAGCCCGGCGAAGTCTGTGGTGACCAACAAGGAACCGATCGCAGGGGAAAGTTCAGCCCCACCCTCAGCAAGGAGCTGACAGGTGATGATGGATCGCCGGGTCGACCCAAAAACCGATAGAGAGACCAGCGCTGGTCCTATGCCTTCTTCCACGGCTCTCTCCGACAACATTCGGGTGCGACATGTGCCTCATGGACTCCGACCATTGCAACGGTCCAAGATGCCGGAAACCTATGAGCTGAACGGGGGTTGGGGCGATGTGAGGATGATCATGGCCAACCCCACCTTGGTGGACGGGCCCGAAGGGTCCTTCTGACTGAATGGAGATGAGTTGGAGGTGCCCGGCGAAAGAAGCTCGCAGCCTGGCCGATGCACTCAAGGGCAGAGGCTGGCTGCTCGGATCCATCCTCGTGTTGCTCTCCATGGCGAGCTTGAGAGAATCGCCTTCCTTGGGAAGAGGTGTTCGAAATCCGTCTTAGAGGATGACGAGCCGGTCGTGCAGTGCTATGTGTACCCTCGTCATCAGCTACACCGCGACTGAGTGGCTGACGAGTACGGAAAATCAATGTCAATGGGCGATCGCGAACCTCAATGATGGCGAGGCCGATCTCGTTGCTCGCCAACCGACCTGAGCTACCACAAGCAGTGCAGAGACGCAGCCCGAGCAGCCGCACGGATGGATGTTTCTTTCGCAACCAAACGGCTGCGTACACAAGAGCATCAGTGACGAAGTTTGTGGATGTTTCCTGGAAGGACTGCAGCCCATCTTCGTCTACGGCATTTTCCTGTTTTTCATGCGAAGGACCGATGGTTCTGGCAGCATGGGCATCTGACATGCCGCCATTTCGCCCCGAGACAGCGCTTGTGCCTTCCAGAGGAGAGTGAGCTGTCGTTGGACAACATCAATTTCACGGGCAAGCGCACCGCGCGCCAAGAGAACCTTGGCGGCACGGCCCGCATGAGTGTGGACGAGTGGAGCTGCGCCATCGACTTGGCCGTGGAGTGGGCGGGCAAACTACCTTCGAAATGGCCCGCGCGGCGATCCTTCCCGAGTCTTTTGCCGCTCTTGCCGAGAAGTTGGCCGAGTCTGCGGCTCATGATTTTCAATGTTTCCAGTTTCCAGTCTGATTAACATGCGCTACAAGCGGAGATGATGCACGGTTTGTTCGAAACAGCACTGAGTGCGGGCAGGAAATCGATGCTGATGCTGAAGATGAGGCCAAAGTGAATCGAGAACTTCGCGAACTCAACATCGAGAGGCTGAGCAGGAGCCGTCCAAACGCGTGATCTTGGCTCCGACGTGCAACGCGAGATCTATCGCATCCATCTCAACCTGGGTCACATTGAGAAAAGGAGTTTCTGTCGTGCGCTAAAACACGCAGGAGTTCGCAAGGATATCCTATGTTACGTCAAGGATGAGTTCAACTGAGTCGAGAGATGAGCTTGAATGAAAGCTGTTGGGATTGATATGATGTTTTTGCACAGGATTGTTCTCCTGAGAGTGCTGGGGCACCAGCTACGAATGGGTGGAGGAGTGGAGGCCGAAACTTCCAGAAAAGCGAGCCGAGAAGCTTACGCGCGCCTTCATGAGCTCGTGGGTCGGGCGCTACGGCACGCCCAAGCTGTTGGTCGCTGACCAGGGACGGGAAAACTGGCCAGCCCTCCGTCTGGCCAGCCCTCCGCCTGGCCAGCTCTCGGAGGCAGGCATCATAGTCCACTTCATCCATGTCAAGGCTCCGGCAAAACTCGCGAACCGAAAATGCCGGAGGAGGGGTCTTCAAGGAAGTTGGCCAAGGTATTGGACGAGGCGGCGGTCGTTGACGGTCACCAAAGACGAGCACGGAGCGATGAAGGCAACCCGAAGCGAGCTCGGAGCCGAAGCGCCAGACGACACTAGCACACGTTCGCCAGCTCCGAGGAACTCTTCGAAACCAGGGACTCTATGGCCTTGTTCAACCTGCGTGACAGGCTGTTCTATTTGACGAAGAAGAAGGAGTCGCCAGGCCAGGTTGTCTTTTCCGAGCTCAGCGATGCTGAGAAGCGGCCAAGCTGGGTCGGAAAAGTAGCTGGTGTGTCGTGGGTTGGAAGGATCCGATGGTGCACGCCGTGGAGAGAAGCGCACCGACGCCGCTGAAAGTCAGCATGTACCTCTTCATGCAGTTGTCGGCAACGTGGAAGTGGCCAGCTTGGGCAAAGGGAGGTCCTGAGGAGGTCGCTGTGTGAGATCCTCGTGCAAGAGCTGGGCTACCGCATCAACGCCTATGACAAATGCGTGCTCCCGGTTGACGGGGTGCCTGAGGACAACGACGCCGAGTTGAACTCCGGAACGCTGTGGTCCGCGGCATCCAAGGTCAGGGTCCTCTGCTTCGAACCCAAGGGATCATTGTGGTGGAGGTCGACGACTTGCTGGAGGCCGGGGGACCGAGACATCGACGGTTGATGGAAGCCTTGGAGAAACGGGTCCGCTTTGGCAAGATCCAGTGCTTGAAACAGCACCAGGCCGAGGGAATATCCTACGCTTGTCGCCGTGTTTTCCAAGACAGCAACTGGGGCTTTCGCTACACCATGGACGACTGCATAGCACAACGACTAAACCCTGTTCGGCTTGAAAGGTGAGTGCTCAAGAAAGACGCCGAGAAGGAGCCGATCGCCAAGGATGCGGAGGCGCAGTTGAGAGGAACACTAGCTTCGATCAACTAGGTGGCACGCGAAGGACGTCCTGAGGCCAGTTTGGCAGTTTTCGCAGGCTGCTTCCTCAACGCCACGGTCGCCGACATCTCGTGCTGAAGGTGCATTCGATTCCCGAGAACCAGGTTCGGCATTTTGTGGTGGCCGACAGCGCCTTCGAGAATCGAGGGGTGGACAAACCACACCATGGATGGCTGCAAGCGGTTACCACTCCGGAACTCAATGCAGGCAGGTCGGCTGTGGCGAGCCTTCTGGGATGGCGATTGCGGCGAATGAAACAAAAGGTCGGGAACACACTGTTGTGCGACAGCATATCGCTTTCGATTGCGCTGGGAGCTCTTGAACGACAGGTGGCCATGTGGATGTCGATCACCATATCCCGTTTCGAATGTTCGGTAATAGAAGTAGTAGGAGGAGGAGGATGAGAAATAGTAGGAGAAGAAGAAGTAGTAGCCATAGTAGTAGTCACCGGCATCGCAGTCGCAGTTGCAGTCGGGGTCCTAGTCGGAGAGAGCAAAAGCTGCGGGCGCCTGAGCGCAAGGACGCTGTCTCCGCAGAAGCGGCTCGGCGATTGCCTGATTGCCTTGAAAGAGCTCTTACGTGGCGACTCAGGCCACCGACGCCCAAGCAGTTGATGGTCGAGGACAGCCTGGGATTTGTCGTGCAGCTGCATTCCAAACCAAGCTGTGTTGTGGAAGGCATCAAGTGAGGAATTGGTTCACACCGCCTCCGCCCAAGAGGGCTGTGTTTGAGATCGGAAGAGACATGGGCACTGTGACATGAGGCCGAGGCCATTCAACAGGCTGCAGAGGATCTGCTAGCATTGTGGCTATCGCTGGCCTTATGACTCACGCCAACTGTTGCTCTGGCATGGCTTTCCATCCGAAGCGGCGAGGAGATAGACATGCAAACATCCATCTGTGAGCAGGTCGTTGAGGCCGGAGCTGTCAATAATGTGAAGGTCGAAAGCGTCTCCTCCTGAAGCATGCAGGCCATCGCTGAAAGTCTTCGCTCCGGCCACGACGCTTCCAGGAGGGAGGTGCCTCATTGTCTAAGCCTTTGTCAGCAAGGCAGCACAAAGCTTTTGCAGAAGCAACAAATGGATGCATGATGTTGAGCATGTGAGTGCCAGTGACAAGGATTCGGTCGGCTTGATGCCCATGTAGCAAAACTGCGTCAAGCGAGTTTGCATTTAAAGTCACGTGAGGTGTGTTAGATGCTGGAATGTGCGGGATGTTTATGTGAAGGGCTCGCAGCGTCAGCAATTTCCGATTTCGAAGGCCATCCGTGATGGAGCTCTGGGCTGAGAAGGGAATCATGCAAGGTACTTGTTCGAAACATCACCATGAACATCAGCAACATAAGTCAGGCCTGTGCGTTGGAGGAGTGGGCAGGTCGCCAAGAGTTGGACAAGCCGTCAAAACGACACTTTGGCTCGCAAGTGTTGTCTTCGACACTGGGTTCGCCGAGGCGGATGAAGTGCGTTCTTTGTTGGCACGTGCTGCTGTCAGCACTGGTCTAGCTGGTGCCGAGTCGGGATCAATCGCCTGCTTGAGGTTGGGACATCCCCGGTTCCGAAGCTGAAGGCAACACCACTGCTCGGATGCCCAGCTGTCGGTGCGGCGAGACGGGCTCGTCCAAGGGATGTAAGAAGAGCCTTCCGGTGCCCTCGGTGCGCCGTTTTGAGCATCGATTGAGCAAGCGAAGCAACAGCTCTTGAGTCTCCCATGTTGAGTTACCGAACTTTGTCGAACACTGCCTTGTGCGGAGACTCTGGCCCATGAGACCCCGGAGCCGTAGCTTCAGCAACATGTGCGCCGCATGCCAACATGTGACACATCGGACACCGGGGCCGCACCTGCAAGAAGCATCCAAGTGGTGCTGTTACAGACGAGCCACTCCTCTTGCCAAGCGATACTTGTTTTTTCATTCTCTGCCTCGTCGAAAGCATGTCACGCAGTGCGGGTTAAAGCCACCAGAAAGGCCCGATTTTCAGAACAAGGCTTGCCGAACCAAATCTGCCAGCCTGTTGCCTATCTGTGAGCTCTCCCTCTCGTTTGCCTGCCTTGGTCTTGAAGGATGTCTGTGCTTGCAGTGCTAGGCCGGTGACACGACACCGAAGTCGCTGAGCGACGAGTCTGAGGAAGAGGCATGGCGAGCTTCACGTGTGGCCGGAGCATCAGTGATGTTGAGCTAATACGGGGGGCCTGCAACAGTTGCACTCCAGCTCTTCTACCTAGTCGTTTGGTCCAGCAGTATTCCAGGGTGCAAAGGCTAAGCTCAGATCTCAAACCTCGGAATGCAACATGAGTAACATGCAGGCCTCAGCGATTGAAGCAGCGAGGAATGCGGTGCGAGCCGACTTCTGTTTATGCCGCCTGCTGCTGCTGCTGCTGCTGCTGCTGCTTCTCCTGCTGTTATGTATGTTCCCATGCTTTCCAGAGCCGGGCGCTTGCAGTCTGCGCTTGGTCTCGTTGAAGCTTCCAACCATGAAATGGCTTTCTTTTGGACCCCATGTAAATCCCACTCACTAAACCTTCAACCCGAACCTCCTTAAATCCCAACCCACACATCCCGAGGGCCAGTGCAACCAGCTTGCAAGTTCTGCTGTCAGCAGGGGTATTGTCAGGAGAGAGGTTTTCCCTGTAGGACCAGAGGGCTTGGAAGGACCAGGATCAGAAACGTTCTCTTGTTGTTGTCCGGCTCTGAAGTGAACACTTCGCACAGGTGGCAAGTGATGGAGACGTTCAAGCCCCAGTTTGCTTCGTGCAGGTTTTGCAGGCTCTCAAAGTCGAACCGGTTCGTCAAGCCGCCTGCCTGTAAGTAGCCAACACTCTTCAGCATTCTTGGCTCAGCCGCCACTGACCCGTATGCATAGTGTGTGAGTATGCCAGGTGTGGGAGTATGCCAAGGACACAGCCCTCCCCAAAATGAAACGCAAAAAGTGTGAGATGGCATACTCGCGAACAGAGCAAGAGGATGCAGGAGAGCACCTTCGAAGCTCAATTCAGCTGACGTTGCAGGGACAACTTCTCACAAGGCATGGGTTGGTACCTGTCGATGTGTCACTGAAGAGTTCGAAGGTTCTGCCACTGAAGGTAACAAGGACCGCAGATCCAGCAGCCGTAACACACCGGAGGGAGCTGGAGGTTGAGGGCAACCAGCGAAGCAAAGAGCCATGCTCTCATTCGGGCAGCCCCGGACCGGGCTCTGCATGCTCGTGTTGCGCCTCCCGCATGAATTTTGTCTTGGCCACGACGATTATGAGTTCTCGCAGCAGGCATACAAAAGGAGTTTGTTTTGGGAGCGGAAGCTTCTAGATCGTTTGCGGATTGTTTGCGTCATTCGGCCCTGTCGAGGGAACTGTACGGCCTGGACAGCAGATATTGTTTCCTGTTCTGATGCCTTCGCAGCAGAAAGCCAAAGGCCCGATTGCTCCAGCAAGGGTACGGCCACCTTACAACATTGCAGGCATGTGATGTGACATGAATTCAAGAGGTGATGTCATTTCACGTTTTCAAGCGGAGGATCTTTTGCAGTGAATCATTCCATCGTGGCTGATCAGACACCACAGATAGTGTCGTTTGTCTGGAAACAACAAGCCAGAAGACCCTGGACGATAGCTTTACCAGCACCCTCGCCACAAATCTCCTTAAACAACAGATTCCCGTGTCTTAATCATCTGTGGCACGTCGAAGGCAAGTGTTTCGATTACCATGGTCAGACGAGCAAGGGACGCTTTCTCAGCATTCCCACGCAATACCTATCTCCTTCTGGGAGTTCGGAAAGGAATTTTGAAAGGCGAGAATTCTGGCAAATCATGCCGAGTGAACGGTCGCATGGAAATCATCACAGATTGGTCGCAGCGGCCAGCAGTCTACGGTATTGATGAGATGGATAGACAATGCAGATCTGCTCAAGTGGGCAGAAACCAGTAGAGCAATAGGTTATCCAGCCGAGGTGATAATTCACCACTGCAGTTTCCCAAGGCTCAAGGCTTTCACGGCCTCGAAGTCGGAGCCGAAGCTTGGGGCACGAACGAGAGACTCTGCGTACGGCTGCGGACGGCCCCGAAACTGGAGCCGAGAATGATTTGAGGGAGCTTGCAGGGGCAAGTGTGGGCTGTTTCAAGAGTCCTGTCGTTTTGGAGCAACGAGAACAGTAGCAGGGGATCAAACTTTCGCACGGACGCCAGTGGACCCAAATCTGAGTCTGCGGAGCTTCTTGTCAAGACGAGAAGAAGAGTCGTTCGACGAAAGCAACGCGGAAAGTTTGGTGGTGGTGGCCAGAAGACAAAAGCAAGGGGGGAAGCATCCGAAGGGGGAGCTTGCGCCGAGAGGGTGTCACAAATGTATGTTTCAATCAGCCCTCCACTGTTCTAGCTGCATCTGATGGGTCGATGGTCATCCGACAAGCCCGTCCGTGTTTATTTCTGAGACGCTTTGGTGCAGCGCGCAGCAGTGCAAGATCGCAGTGTGCTCTCCAACAGGCTTTTCTTCCCTAACCGGCACGACTACGGCTTGATCGCACTGAAAGTGTGGCTTTCAAGCGGACGTGGAAAGCAAAGGTAGACCAGAGCATGTGGGTCTATGTAGTCGATGTTGCCTGCATCCGATGGTTATTTTGGTCCATGTCAACCGACCCCCGCTGAACATTCGGATTCGACCTGCTCATTGCCGAATCTCAAGAGATTTGTAAGCAATTGTCCACGGTCAAATGCCAGGTTTTGCTACAGACAGCCGGCGTCGCACAATAGAAAGGGGTAGGCGATCCTGAGCTTTACAACAAATGCAGTGGAAATCAGCAAGGAATTCTTTGTGAAGTGAGGCTCAGCCTTGCCAGTGTGGATCACACTGCTGACAGTTCTTCTAAGGCCTCTTGGTCTCTGCAGCGATTGCAGCAACTGCAGCATGAGTCAGAGGCCCTGCCTGATTGGAAGACCATGGCATGCATGGTGACGTAGAATTGTCAAGCGAGATGCAGAGCGTCTGTCGGCCCAGCTTGGAGGTTCTAGGCAAAAGGTGAGGCTTGCGTTCCGGGTGTTCAGCAGAGGTGGAAATGTCAGGGATTGGCATGCTTGGTCATGTTCACTCCGTGCAGGTGTGGTTGCACAAATTGCCACCTCGGTTTCTTCTGTGGGATGCTCGGACACAGCCCTGCTGTGCAATTGTGATGTTTGTGCAGAAAATTTGCACTTTTTTCTTTTGATGGAGGCGCCGTCTGTGCAAAGGACACGAAGAAGGCTCGAAAGTGGCAGGGAAGTCATGCGACCCGCTGTGGCTGCATGCAGGGACTTCTGACAGCATGTCCGAGCATGATGCCGATTCGTCGAACACCACAAATTTCCTGCTGGAAACTCAGGGCCAGTGTTGACCTCATTGGGCCTAGTCGAACTGCCGGGTGCTACAGGCACGATTTGATCAAGAGCAATGACACTCTTGAGAAGACTCTGGCAGACACACGACCTGCTTCCATAGCGTGGGCCTAAAGCAGAGTGTGGATTTGCTCCTTGGATCTGCATGTTCTGATGCACAGGTCAGAGAAATGAGGAGGTGCTGTTCTCGACTTGATCATGAAGCTGCTGGTCTCGAGAACACAGCCGCCCTGGTTGCCTCTGCTGCTAGCATTTCGTGGTCACTCTGGCGAGTTTGGCCACGAACCTGTGGGAGTGTTGTGCGGATGTCCTGGGCCCGAGGCAGGCTGACTCCGTGTGCACTAGCCCAGACCTTGGCTGGCATGAGCGGATGATGAGCTTTTCGTTCTACTGTGCATTGGCTGCGGTGCATAGTCCGCAGGAGTCCAGATTCGGTTCAACTCTGAACACACTGCGAGATCCTCCGACACATTCAGATAAATATGTTCCTTCGACCTAGCAAGAGGCGGCCGTGCCAGCGCAAGACGACTTGCCCGACTTCACTTCCTGCTCAGGGCTTTGCTTGACAGATCAGCCAACCGTTTGTCGGTCGTTGTCCGTTTTGCCTTCTCCTCCTAAATCACTGGTGCATACTATGCTCGGTATCATTCATAATCTTCCACTGCTTCCATAGAAGCTCTATTCTGAAGAGCCAGTGGCATCTCTCAGTGTGCAGCTCGGGTGAGGCCCAGGGGCATTGATCGAAACAGTGCGATGCGTAATTGTCTAGCATATCCAAGTATTTGGCCCAGAGTGTATCGATGAGGTCGATCGAAAACCGTAACCTCCCAGAGGTATATCGCAGCTTCAAGGATGTGGCAATTCTCTCACTGCAAGATGTGGCCATGCACGCGGAATGGTAAAGGCATGTCCGCACTCGCGAAGAGCATGGAGCACTCTCTCCAAATATGCTGTGACCCGGACAAGCTGACAGCAGTGAGCAAGCTTTTATCGAGTTTCATTCGGCAGAGTGAGCAGAGGCTTTGGCACTCTTGGTATCGCATACATCGTTTGCTTTGCTCTCGTGAACCTAGGTCCTTCCAGGGCAGCAGCCCTGCACCGAGGCAATTCTGGCTTGAATGCGTGTTCTCCAGTGAATTCGCAGGTCTCCGACGTGTCCGCATCGCTTTGCGCCCAGCTCCGGCTACGTGTCACAGCAGCGGAGCCGCCTGTACCAAACTCGGTGCGTTGCAAAGGCCTTCGCCCAGAATTGGACGTACCAAGTCAGTCACTGGTCTGGTGCGACTCAAAGCAGGTTCAGGCAGCAAGTTCTAGCCTAGTTGGCAGGCACGTGGATCTCGCAGCCGTTCGAGCTCGAGGACTTCCTCCCCTGCCAAGGAGATTCGCTTCGGTGTTTCCTGCAATCCTCCGTGTCGGCTTGGTGTTCTTGTCTTCTGCACTTCTTGCAGCTTGACCGCCAGAGAGAAGAGAAGTAGTTCTCTGCATACCAAGCTTTTCGAGCTTTCCGAGTGTAGAGCAATTCTTTCCAGTTTGGGAAGCTTCCCCGAGCTTGCGGCAAAGCTTCCTCGATGTCACTCCCTGAATCTCACGGCTTCGGGTTCGATTATTTCCGCCAGAGTCGACCGGGCCGATTCCTGCAGCAAGTGATCGTCTCACTACGGTCGTCCTGGTAACAGGCATCGAGGGGTGGCTCTCGACCGGCAACTCCACGACAAGGCCCATGGAGTGCTCAGAATCCCAAGTTATGTGTGATTCTTTGTGCATCTCTGAGCAGGTGTTCCCGGGAGAGCTGTGGCCCTGGCAAGTCCAAGGCGCTTCGGGGGCCCAGTGGTCGATGGCGGTTGCTAGCACAAGTCAGGTTGGAGGGCCAGGGCGGAGATGCAGGCGCTTTGCTCTTTGCAGCTTCCGAAGAGTTGCACTGCGGTCGGCAGGTCCCTCGTCGCCAGTGTCGCCCTCCTTTGGAGCTGGTCTTGGTGCCCAACAGCAACTGGTGTCCTTGACGTTCTTGTAGCGTTGAGCAGCTGACCAGGCTCGTCACTGCGCCACGCGGCAGCGGCCGAGGTAACTTCTCCAAGCGAGCTTTGCTGCAGACTCCAGCATGGGCAATCTAAGGTGCCTGAGGAGGGCTACAACCCTTTCGAAGATGATCGGGTACGCACCTCTTCTGACAGCGATGGGGTCGAGGCGTGCCACACTGGACTGGAGAAGGTAATTACCAATCCGTTCGGCGACTGCAGCCCGGACGGTGACCAAGAGACAGAGACGCTGGGCAATCCGTTCGGGTTCAAGAGCGAAGAAGAAGCAGCCCACTGCTTCACCGAGAGACAACCGAAGCGGGATGTCAACCCATTTGACGACAGCCCCGACGAAAGCGCAAGCGATTCGCCTGTGGAGGATCTGGGAGGCGGGGACCGCGAGGAGCTCGAGTCTCGGCACTTGTCTGGCTATGCTGCACCAGCCCCCCTGGTCACAGGAAATCCATTCTCGGTGGATCGTCGCGAGGATGCAGGTGGGTATGCCGCGTTTGAAGAGTGTGGCTAGTGAGGCTAGGGACCAGTGACAGCTGACCACGATGGCTTTCTCATCAGAACCTCTGTGCCTTCTTTTTTCTCAAGCTTTCACAGCTTCTTATTCAGTCAGTCCTTGCGCTGGAAAGGGGATGCGGGCCCAACGGGACATGCTGTTGCTTGCGACTGGATTTCTGGCCGCAGCTGGCCTCATGACTGCATTCAGCTGGACACGGCGCTCATTCCTCCAATCGCCGAGAGCTGGATGGGCTTTGATCGTGCATTTGCGTTTCAGGGACATCGCTGTCCGGGACGAGTTTCTTTCTTTTTGGACCGTGCTGGCACGGTATGTGAGGGACAACGAGCCATTCGTGACATTGTATCAGGCCATCCAAAGTGATAAGGATCCATTGCTCGTGATAGTGGATGAGCGATACAGCTCAAAGGAAATGTACACCGGTGCACACAGAAGCAGCACAGCATTCGCAGAATTCCGTCCAAAGATGAAGAAACTGCAAGACGAAGGGCGATTAGAAGTTACTGGTGAAAGCGGCTTTGCCATCGATCTGGATTCGTAGTTAGTTCCATCGACGCCCTGGCAGAAGGTCGCGGCGAAGATAGCCTTCTTTACGTGCTGTGCACAGCTTGACTCAAAATCGCGTAAGTGAGCAGTGCAGATGCAATTTCAACGCATGTTGCCTCGCACTGCGTTGCATGCTTTTGTGCATGCCAGGCGTCAGTCCAGTGGAGGAGCAATGCACGCATGGCCTTCTGTACAGCTGACCTTAGCCGTGGAGGAGACATCGAAGACGCAACACTTTGGAAGTCCAGCAAGTCTGGCCGAGGACGCGTCAGGATGTAGGTGCAGCAGCCTTGGAAATTTCGTCGTGGTCGGGGCCGTCGGGTCGTTGTTCTGTTTCGGGCCTCTGTCAGAAGCGGTTTTGTCCCTGTACCACCCTTCCCTTCGTCGGGAAGTTTTTGTCTCGTGACTGAGTTTGCGTAGCCCCCCAAATGAGACGGCAAGGGTCTCGACCAGGAGCCCAGGAGGGGGCTATGGCTAGGGTGGGGAGTCCTGTCCAACGAAGCTCCCCCACTTTCTCCAGACACACGCACCTGCGATTGGCCTGCGCCTGCGTCCTGAGGGACAGCTGGTGGGGACCTCATCTTCACTTTCATTGTCGTCTCATCTCGTGCTGTGTGATTCACGTGGCCCTCACACAGGGAGGGTAAGACATTCATAGAATTTCTCATCTTGTTGTGCCCATGTCTGGCATACTTGGTACCACAAGCTTCATCTCGTATTCGTTACACAATCATCATCAACATCATCAAGCAGTCCACGAGCGCAACCAGCGTTTGAACAAGTGTGTGTGTGTGTGTGCATGCACCATCCAGGGACATGGCTCCATGAAGACCACCGTCCCATGTGTGCAAACGTTCCTGTTGCAAATGTTCCTGGACCCCGGCGTGGGTAGCTGTCATCCACGTGCACCATCATCTCACTTCCTCCTCGCCATTCCTTTTGCATCTCGCACAGGGTGGCCGGACCGTTACCCACTTCCGGATATTTGACACCAGCACCGTGGTTTCATCATGGTTCATTTCCATCATCATAATCATAATCACAATCATCATCATCGTTATCGTCCTCGTCATCGTCATCTTCATGATGATCACTATAGACTTTTCACCACTACTGATTGCGGTCCATGTCCTACCTAATCGTTGGCGGAAAGGGGCAGACCAACCCCTGCCGAACAGTTCTGTCCAGTAGTCAGGATATAGAGTGGGGACGCTCGGTTTCGCACCTGCACGCCAAGCCTTTCAGTGTCAGCACTTGCCCAGAACCTGAAACCCGTGTTTGAGGGTGAGAGCCCACCCCCTCGGAGGCTTGGTTCAGGAATGCTGGAACCCAGTGGAGCATACAGGAGTATATGGATTGGTATCGGAAGACTGCGCACGCTAGATGAATCCGGCAATCTGCGTGTGTGTGTGTGTGTGTGCGCGCATCTTGTGAGCCAAGGACTATAAGTAATGATCAGGAACGCCGGTATATTTCAGCAGGGGGGACAGGAGCTGATTTGCCTATCCTGTCCAACGAAGCTACGGCAAATCAGTGGAAGCACTTGAGGACGCCCAACTGTCTATCTGCTTGTTTGTACATACTGTCAAGCAAGTGAGTGAGAGTGCAGGGTTCAGGGCTTTTTTGGTGCATGTAGGACATGTAGGAGGCAAAAGGACCCAATACTCGGATTGGAGATCTGCACAAGTGTGCTCCAGGCAGCATTCGTTTATCGCACTGTTTGCTCCAGGGTGGCCCGGATGAGTATGGTCATGTCAATGAGCGGTAATGTTCCCTGATCGCAACACTCTGACCGAAGCCAGTCTCCTTTGCTTCAGCCCGCACATGAGCCGGATTTAGTCAGTAGATGCGAAGCCAGTAGAAGATCGTGTTGGTCATTGGTCTCCACCCTCGGACTTGACAGCCTAGGAGCGGAGTCAGACCGGGAGGGGCGCAATCAACATTCCAGACACACAGCCGTATGAGTCCGTATGAGTGATACAGCAAGAAAGGATCCTCACGTTTATTTTTCCTGATTGCGTGCAAGTTGACATTTGTCAGCAGGTAGAGCCAGTGAGTCGTTGAAAGACCAGCCCTTCTCATGAAGGGGTGTGTTTGTGTGTTTCAAGGATACGGACTAGGGTCTGGTAGATTGTTCAACAGTGTATGTCAGCTGCGACTGGAGCATTGAGCTTTGTGATACCGAGCATTCTGCGTACAGGAGTTTGAAGTCTCAGGATTACCCCTTCTTCGTAAGGGGTGGGTGTGTACATCCTTTGAGCCAAGGACTTTTAAGTAATGATCAGGAAGGCCGTATGTTCTAGCAGGGGGACGGGAACTGATTTGCCTATCCTGTCCAATGAAGCTACGGCAAATCAGTGGAAGCATTTGAGGACGCTCAACTGTCTACCTGCTTGTACAAACTGCCACGCAAGTGTGAGAGTGCAAGGTTCAGGGCGTTTTTGATGCATGTAGAAGGCAAAAGGACCCATGACTCGGATGTGTGTTTGTTTTTGGCTGTTGCTGGTCTTGGCAGCAACATATGCAAGCAGGCAGGCGGAGGACGAGGAGGAGCAGCAGCAGCAGCAGCAGCAGCAGCAGCAGCAGCGGCAGCAGTAGCAGTAAGAAGTACAGCAATTGCCAGCATCAGCATCGAGTTGGCTGTGGTTCCGAGTTCTTTTGCTGCCCTTGTTGACATTGTCGCGATTCGTCTTCTATTCCTCTGCTGTTTCAGGAGATGCAGCCTGGCCATTGCTTCGAAAGTCCGGCAAGCTTTAGTGAGGACTCCGTCGTTTTTGTTCTATCTGTAAGAACGGCTTGACAGAAATTGATAATCTTTGCCGTGTAGGGTACTGCCGTGGCACGAAATGCAATGGTCAGTAGACCTCTTTGCTCGAACCTCGGCTTCTTGCCTCACTGTTCATCTTCCTGCAGCTACCCGAGAGGTCTCGAAGTTGTGAAAGACACGGCCAGCCCTAGAGTGACCTCGTTAATGCCAGGCGCGCGACAGACTCAGAAAGCGCATAGAAGAAGTCTTGACAAGCTTTTGGGTTTTCAGGTGCAGCTCCGGTTCTGGAGGCATCATTGTAAGGATGTTTTGTGATGTGCAGTGGATGCTCTTGTATTCGTTCTAGATGTGGCGGCGCCCATCTCCCCGGCAGCTCCCGGGCGGCCTAGCAGGATGTCTCTGCAATGGTTTCAACGCGTCGCTTGGCTTAGCGGCTTCATGGGCTTTGTTTTGTTGTCAAGAAGTGACAGGTCCAGGGAAAACGAGGACCTCGACGAAGAGCTACGGCAAGTGATTGATGCACCATCTTTGGAGGCACCTAGCTGTTCTTATGCGACAAGTTGGAAGAAGAGTGTCTCGTGCAGAGGCGGCCATCGCAGCTAGTGACGCCTCGATGTGCAAAGGTCTTCATCGGGTCTCACAGTTTCCTGAGTGGCCCGTGCAAGACATGACTGATGGCACAGGCCGTTTAGACGCTGGCGATTTCAGGAACTGGAAGTGGCGTGACCATGCTGTAAGAAGCTCAGGCAGAGTATCATGATGCCGTCTCGTCTGTTTCGAACTTTCCCAGGCCGAAGAAGGGCACCAAGTACTGGGAAAAAGCACTCACTTCCTGTCTGACATGCTGGCCGACGAGGACTGCCACGTTTCCGTGTGCCCAATGCTGGCAGCAAGCGAGCCAGACATTCTGCAGGACTGGGGGTTCTTCTCATACGAGCTGCTCCTGCTGAGCCTGGGCGCTGGGTTTTTGTTAAATGCTGGCTCTTTTCAGCATGCATGTTGCCGAGGTCGCCACTTCCTCCGCGAAGGCAGTCCTGCACTGGACCAGGTGTCTGCCCTGATTCCGATCTGCCGTGTGCGCCGCAGTCCTGGTACGTCATCTGTGAAAGCGTTGAGTTGCAGTTGTTTGTCGCAAAGATGGACGTAGAGGCTTGGGAATCAACACCCAACTCCACCACCACATCGTTGAGCTGTCCAAACCTTCCGGCAGTGAGGCAACAAGTGGGCTCTCAAGAGAAATTTCGGTGTGACATCTAGCGCAGGCCTTCTCACCGCTAGATGTTCGGTATCGGGTGGCCCTACTACTGAGGCAGGTGCGAGCACTTGTTGTTTTTCTTTGTTGTGTTGCGCCTTCTTGCCTGCTTTTTTGGACGCCTGGTGCTTCGTTGCAGGCTTTGGACCAGCTGGGAGACCTTTGAGTACGGAACATTGGCAGGCAGGTGCTCTGCATCTGTGCACCCGTCCGACACTGCAATGCCGTGCCAGAACCCTCGAAAGAGTGGACGCAGAAATGGATCCACATGCAGCTCCGAGTCCTGAAAGGATGTCTTGTCCCCATCTTCCTCTCTGGGATTCTTGCATTCGCATGGTCACATGCGATCGAGGCATCCTTGAAAGAGCTATGCAACTACACGAAGGACAAGAGGACCTGTCGGCCTGTGTCGGGCTTAGCAAGGTGTACAGGCGGAAAGATAAGCTTTTCCATTGTCGAGGTGGGCGCTGCTTGCGGGCCCTTCGAGAGCTCACTGAGGCGCAGCCGCTGTTTTTGGAGAGCCTGTTTTTGGGTCCGTTCGTGGCAAGATCGCGCTGAGTGGAAGCTGGGGGAAGCCGCAGGCGCTTGAAAGGACTGCGTGCATCTGTTCGTCTGCCTAGTGTGTGCTCCAGTGATGCTCGAAATATCTCGAAAGAGAGAGCGCGGCTGCCGGTTTCCGAACTGCCAAGAATCTCAAGCGCAAATTGCACGTCGCAGCAGAAAGTATGCTGTACCGATTCCTGCCTGGGCCGTGGCTTCCGGGTGGGTGCTTTTCGCCGACCTCGAGTCTGGACAAGCTGAGGTGAAGGATGACTGTTGCAACATATGGCAACAGTTAGCGACTTGAGGTTGGGATGTCGGGAAGCTAGGTGTTTTTGCCGATAGTTCCAATGCCACCGCGCAGATGATGACTGTTTACGGCTTCCACGTCAACCAGTAGACCAATAATCGAGATATATCGAGAAATGGCGAGATGCCAGAACCGGTGTGGGCGGTGAATGGTCATTCACAGAGAACAAAGGAAGTGTGCTTTGCTTGGTCGCTGAAGCACTCATGGTAGAAAGCTTCGCAATGTAAAAGGGTCGAGGACATTGTTTCAGCCGTTTGCTCATGCAAGTGTGGCACAAGGCCTTCGCGGATTTGCATGCGAATCTGTTGGACAAATTGGCTTGTTCAGCTAGTGTCCGCATTTCGAGCATGGGAAACAAGAGCTCCAGAGAGTTCGGAGAAGAGTTGGTGCGTGTACGCAGCTGCCCGGAGGATGGCGGAACCCAGCGGACGAAGGCTTCTGGCGATGGTCTTCAAGGAGATGGACGCCGCTCGGACTCGTCTCCAGAGCCGAGGCGAGGCTCGTGTGCAAAAGCGCCGCGTGTGCGAGGCCCTGAGGCCCCTGGAGAGCCGGGAGCCCAGCGAGGACGGGAGGAGGAGTCGGAGGAGTGTGCGAAGCAAGCACAGCAGCACTGGGAGAGAGCGGGCGGCGGGCTCCGCGCGGCTCCGAGGTTGGTCCTTCAACGTGGTCTTTGCTGCCAAAGTCTTCGGCACGCTCTGGCGTGCGGCAACGGATTCTGAGGCACCGTCGCTACCCTTTTGCAGGTGCACTGCTGCCGATAGCACATGGCCAGGCAGAAGATCGCCTGAGCTTGGATGCTCCGCTGGTGGCTGCTGCTCTGCGGGACGACCCGGCTTTTAACTTGCATGTGCCCACTTGGGGCGTTGGTAGCTTCCAGGCTGGCAGGCCTCCACCCACACTTGGCCCCGCTCCAGTGCTGGTCTCAGTTTCAAAAAGAGGCTTCTCGCAGCTTGCGGCTCGACCGCCCAAGGCTCGAAACCCACGCCTTGCTGTTTACGCTCGCAGCTCACGGTCATAGCACATCAGAGCGTGCCGACCAGTGCTGTGATACTTCAGTGACTTTGTTCCGTCATAGGCAGCAGCTTTGGTCAGCGACCTTCTCTCCGAGTCGACCTGGCTCTGAGTTAGACATGACATTGGCAGTTTCTTGAGAGAAAGCCTTTCTATGTCTCGTAAGACTGCTGGTTGAATCTGTTCTGATATGGGTAAGCGTAGCGCGCAGTGCCAAGGCAGGAACCATTCGAGCTGGTAGAGCAACTGTATACACAACGCATCGAACAGCTGCTTAAGGCTTGAGGCCAGTAAGTCCCTGCTGAGGTTCGAAGCTGAAGTTCGACTTTGAAGCCGCATCTGGAACCCCGTCCATCTCGAACTCCGACTTAGACATCTGAGTTTGCATGAACCAGTTACGCGAATCAACCCTGCAACCCAATGAGAAGGGTTTGGGGTTTCACAACGTCTGTCCTTTTGGCAGGCATGCTGCAGCTGCCTGCCGCGGTGCGCAAGGGCTTGTTCTCTAACTCCCTTGGTCGTTCCACGGGGATCCTTATGATAATGGACCATGTGGAGGCGCTTGCTATTTCTGCCAGCATTCTCAGCGATTTCTCTCACTGGCTTCAGCTTGCAGCTTAGCCTTGCCGTGCCTCAGCGGCGTGCCTGAGCAGTGTCGCCGTCTCAGGAAGACTCCAGTGGACGCCGCGGCGTGCTTTGCGAGACAAGGCCTGATGAGCCTCCCACGCTGTTCTCGCACGGTGCTCGCGCGGGCAGGTGCACCTGGATCTTCGCAGCAACCCCTGGAGCTGATCGTTAGGAGCCAAGCAGCTAATCAGTGTTGAAGCGCCTACCTGCAAAGACCAGAGATCGGGGCTCCAGGCTCAAGCAAAGCGGGTTGTCAGTGAGATGCAAGATGCGGAGGAGTTGGAAGGTAAAGAGATCCTTGTTCGGGCTAATGGCTTGTCAGCCTCCTGCATGTTCTCGTGCCCAGCAGACTCTTCCATCAAAGATGCAAAAGCCCTGATCGAGCGAGAGACCGACATTCCCCGGAGTGAACTTCGCATCTGTCTGGGAGAACGAGAGCCGAGGGATGTGGAGAAATTGGATAAGCTCACTGAACTTGATGAGCTCGAGCTGTCCTTCCTCCGCCGCGATCCGGAGCAAGCCCGTTGGCTGGAAGCCATGCAGGACGCAGACGCTACTTTTTTGTCCGAGGCACCCCCGAATATCCGAGATGATCACGAGGTTGTGCTTGCTGCAGTCATGCAGAATGGAGAGGCGCTGAAGTTTGCATCGGATCGTCTTCGATCCGACAAGCTGATTGTATTACAAGCAATTGAGGAGGACGCCCGAGCCTTCCGCTATGCCGCCGCATGTCTGCATGCGAATCGAGATGTGATGATGTCGGCAGTTCACCGGAACGGTCTGACACTGGAGAACGCAGTGCAGGAACTCAAAGAAGACCGGGAGCTTGTTGAGGCGGCGGTGTGCCAAAATGGCCTGGCTCTGCGCTACGCCAGTGCCGCCCTGCAAGCGGACATGGAAATCGTCAGGTTGGCCATTCAAAGCGATCCGAGCGCCATAGACTTCGCAGCTCCTGAACTTCGCGAACTTTCAGTCGAAATTTCCTAGAACGGCAACCCGATATGCCAAACTCGTGGTGACAGCACTGCTGGGCGAGACGAAGAGAGGGGGCTACGTAGCGACAAGTGCTGGAGTCGACGCTTTGCAAGTGACGCCTGCCATCTGCCTTGCCTGATACCTTTCTTTTCCACGCCTCCTTGCAACAAACGTGGTCAATGCACTTGTTTGTGGTCTTGTGAGCCGGAGATTTCAGTCCGGACGAGGGGACTTTTGAGGAGTCAGTTGTAAGTTGTGAGATGAGCGCTAAGGCACGGCGGCTGCTCACAGTGGACTTGAGGGATCAGCTGGTCCAGACTCTGACAGCCGCTTCCTCGGATTCGGGAAGAGATGCAGTCACGGTTTCCGAACTCTCAGGACTACAGGCGCCACTTTGAGTGCAGCCGTCGGGCGAAGCAGAACTGAAGATGTCAGACGGCTCTGGTACCAAATTAAGGCCGTCAGCTTTTGCAGCTGCACTGGAACTGTGGGTGACCTGCTGAGAAGCACCTGCACCACCGGTAGACGCCAGAACGAGACATTTAGCTCAGGAGCGCTGCTTTCGGGAGACACGTCGTTCCGATGTCAGAACCTTGAGATTCTTCGGACTTTCGGCGGCGTTCCCTGCAAGTTCCGTTAGGAAGCATTCTTAAGGTCGGACGTGGGCGCAGCAACGAGGCCATGCAATTTTCCAGCAAGACCATGCCGCTTGCTCTGCAGCGGCTGCGGTGGTGTGCCAGGCATTTGCCGAGGATGCCGAGGAGGAGCATGTGTTAGCTCGCGTCTCAGTCGAGGCATGGGTTCTGCAGCTCACAGCTAAGCTTCGGACGAGGAGAGCGGGTCAACTGAAGAACTCTTCCGCCTTCTCCTCGGCCCGGACTATCAGAGTTTCTGTCGCTGGAACATGTCTACGCAAGACCTCTGTGTTCAGGGTGCTTCGGACAGTGGTTCGTCCGCTGCTCAGCGCTTGTTTCATGATGCACGGATGTTGCACCAGAGTGTGCCAGATAGTCTGTTTGGCAGCAGTCCTCTTTTTTTGGTGTTCTTGTGTGCATGAACGGGATTCCGAAAGCAACAGTGTTCGTTGTTTGGTTTGTGGAGCAAGGTTTGGCAGTCTGCAAGCAAAGAAGCTGAGCCTGCTCCTAAGTTTGGCGGGATCTTGTCCTGGATTATCAAAACAGTTATTGACGTGATGTGCAATTTGAGGCTGGCCTTGCGGCCATTTGACGAGCCTCCGAGGGTTCATTGTTACAATGCTCGTTCATCTGGTTTGTTGGCCTCTGCTCTTCGCAAGGTTCCTATTGGAGACGAGGTTGCGTGGAAGCGTCCGGAACGCAACAGCTTCATGTATGCACGGACGGCAATGGTGGTGCACTTGCAAGGTCTCGGCCCTGAGATCAAGCAGTACCTCGAAGGCCAAATGCTGTGGCTGTCAGCATGCATGCTCACGAAACGAGACGGTTTTTTTGTGCAAGGACTCACCGATGCAGTCCGGCGCTCCACGCGGGATTTATGATACCTGCGACCGCAGTGCATCAAGGTTCAGTCCCTGATCGAAGAGCTGGATTGCGAGAAGACGTTTTACAACGAGGCGGGAGGGGGCCTGAGGGTGATGTAGCGCCTGGAAGCGAATCAGATCTTGGCGAGGCCTGGGCTGCTCATGGGCTCGGGCCAGAGCACCTGGCCGTCTCAGCAGCGGCTGTGGTTGTGGCGGTTGGTCGCTCAGAAAGCTTCAGGAGCAGATCAGTAGATCAGCCTTTGTCACAGCCTTTGTCCCAGGTGCGCCCACGTGTGGAGAAGCTGAAAGCTGGAGTGTGGCCAACGGTCCGGCCTCGCTTCGGGGAGACATCGGAAAGCAAGATTTTTGCCAGGGCCCGCCGATTCTGGAAGTCCCGCCGGGAGGAGGGCGCTTAATCCAGGTCCTTGAGGCCTGCTTGTGACTTCTTGTGTCTCTTTCTCTCAGTACGCTCCCTGCCGTGTGTGTGTGTGTGTGTGCGTGCACGAGGCTTTAGATCGAGAAGCCAGCCGGCATCGTGAAGCTAATGTTTGTCACACAGCTTGACCCTGCAGTGAGCGCGATAATGAATCATGCCAGTGAGTACTGAGCCGCTTTGCTATGCTTTGCTTGTGACAGTGAGGTCCTGACAACAGAGCCACTGGTAGATATTCTGGTGCCTCATGTCGCAGCCCGGCCGCAAGTCAGCTCAGTCATCATGCCACGCCTTGTGTTTCCAAAGTGCGTCTGTGTCGGTAGTGGCATGCAGGACGACATGCAGACGTGCCACCGTCCCTCGCATGCGTGGAATGCAGTCACTGTACTAGGCCATTCAGAGTTGATTTTGGTCACATTCCACGCATTTGGCTTGCACTTGCTATTGCAACCACAAGTGTGCTTCCAATTATTTTTCCCTACAGGCTTTAGCCACAGAGGCTTTTTTTGATGAGCTTGTGTTGTAGAGCAACTATTGGTCAACAACTTGTATTTTTGCTAGGGGAGTTGTTCAACATTTGTCGGGAGTCTTTTTCACCTCTTGTTTGGCTCTTGTGTACTCTTGTCGTGCTCTGGTGGTGCCGTCCAGTAGCAAGGTTGGAGAGTGCCGTTTGCGTTTCTTGACATCCGTAGACCTCCCGCGGGGGGTCGCTGGACTTCGACCAGTTGATCGCTGTACGTATCCGCGAGGCGCATGATGGTTGTAAGCTCCTTGAAGTCGGGCAAAATTGTGGCAGCGTCTCTTGCTCCATGATGGAAGGTGGGCAAAAGATGGGCAGAGCAAGCTGCTGTCGGTTCCGATCCAAGAATAGACCACCTGATATTTTCGGACACGAACTCTTTTCGGCAGTTTGTAGTTGCCGCCACCGCTGACTGCGACGCCAGAGTATGGGTGTAGGGTTTTCTGCATGTGGTCTATGAGCGGCGGTAAATGCGAACAGGGCTGTCAGGAGCACGTGCCGTAAAGAACGTAGCCGGGGTAGGCACCTTGCAGGAAAGTGCTACATTTAAAGGCTGTGGGGGCAAGAGGCATTCTGCGGGGTTTCTGTATCAAATGTGTTTATAGAAATTCTTACCGACTTGGTTCCTCAGTAGCCCCTTAAGACGCCGACCCCACGTGGTCGCCAGGTCGCCTGGAGGCCTCCGTTCTTTCCCCACCCCGATTTGACTCGTGCGCCGTGACTGCCCTCACTGCCCCCACCGCCCTCCGTCCTCCCGCCCCCGTGTCCAACACATCTACTTCCTCCCCCTCCCATCTGTTGGGGCCAGGGCCGGGGCCAAGGCCATAGGCCAACGCCGGACGAGATTAGCGGGTGCCGTCATCATTCGGAAAGGCTGAAACCGACGAGACGCAGCATTGGCTGGACTCGGCTAGCGGAAGCGCCGAAGCATTTGCACCGAAGACTCCCGCAATGTATTGCTTCGTAGCAGAAGCATTCATAGTCGCAGCGTATCCTTGTACAATGTGCACGAGAAATCCGTGAATCATCCAGACATCCCTCTGTTTCGTGGCGCGGCTCCTCAGAGCACCATGACCCAGACGCTGCATGCCCGCGAACTCGAGTGAAAATGTCTTGTTGCAGCCGACCACAATCCAAAATCCCTTATGCAAGAGGTGCTTTGGCCCCCAGCGTCCTCTTACCAACCCTAGGCATGCCTTTGGGGTTTTATCCACTGCCCACCCAACATCCTGGGTTAGGAGCTGATACTTGGGTCCTTGCCTGTTTAATCCCGTGGATAACAAATTTGAACTTTACCTGCCTCTATCCGCTCTATCCATCGTCAGGCGAGGAGGGCCCCCGCCTCCCCCCCCCCATGGTCCATGGTCCAGAATCCCCACGCCCCCTGCGGGGTTGGCTGTGGGGTCCCTGTTACCCTGTGGTTCCCACTTGGAGGGTCGGAAGACTTAATAAGTAGGGAATAAAGTAGAGTTACAAGCGCCTAGGCCTAGATGGGATCCTAATTGGGGTAGCTTACTTACTAAGTCTCCCGACCCTCCAAGTCCCAAACCCTAAATCCTAAACTTGTGAGGGTTTAGGGTTTAGGGCTAAACCCTCAACTGCCGAGAGCGCCGCTGACCATTTGCATGGGCGCTCCAAGCTCCGACGGAGGCCCCCGCTCAAGCGTCTCATAACGGCTTCGGGTTAAACGGTATAAGGCTTCGAGACGACAAGGGTTTCGGGAGGGTTTGGGTTGTAGGTTGGATAGTGTTGACGGTTTATGTTCTGCTTTAGCTTGCGTAGGGCTTGCGCAAGATCTCGGCCTTCTCTGTGACCCTTGGCCGCCCCGCAGGAGCACCCACCCTCCGCTGCAGCTCCAACGGCCCTGACCCCCCTCCACACACCCCTATACCATTGGAGGGGGGGGGGACCAGACACAAAGGAAAACTTATATATATATATAATATACATATCTATATATATATATATACACATACATACATAGAGAGAGAGAGGTATGTACTACATAGCAGGGGGGACCAGACAGAAACAACCAAGAAATCACAGAAGCACATGGCATCATATGTTGCTGCATGAGTTGACTGCTTCTCAAGACACTGTCAACATTCCTGCAAGGCTTCCCCCAGACAATTCTTCATGGCAATGAAGCAATGATTTCTTCCTGCAATGTAGCCTGTGCTCCCGTATGTCCCTACTTTTGTGCTCCCGCGACCCTCTCGCATCCAAGGATAGCAGCAGATCCTTCGTGTGAGAATTTTCGCTTTCACCGTCCGATGTCCTGTGACGGCCTCTGAATGCGAAAGGATCATGACGACATCATGGGCCGGCTGTCGGTGCCCAGATCGACCGAACCTGCTTTCAATCCGTCTGGACATAAACGTCCGAGTTGCGCGAGCCGGGCGGAATAAGCTGTCCTACAGCAAACTAACAATATTCTGCGCTTCGTAAGACGTGACAGCCCTGCTAAGATGTTCGATGGAACCTGCAGCACGCTGTCGAACAAGGCCGCACGCCCTCTGACGTGGCAGTCGGAGCATGCAGAGCACCTGCAGCAAGTGCAACTCTTCCTCTCCCAACCTTACGCTGGCGAGGAATGCACCTGGAAGAACATCTTTGCCTCTCAGCCGCCCAGAAGAGCCGTACTAGACTGTTGCTTTCAGAAACATCCATAGCAAGAAGGAATATCGACGCGAGGTGCGGAGGCTGTATAGCCGGTACCGCCGAGGCCGGGGCAAGAAGCGCTGCCGCTTTGGCAGATATCTTCACGGACAACGGTTGGCTTTCGCAGCCAAGACGAAGAGCCACTGTCGCAACCTACGTTCAAAATTGAGGGTCCGAGGATTGTGGAACTGGCGGTCATGTGCTTTGCCCCATCGTGCTGCTGGCTTAGCAGTTCTCATCGGCACTCTCCCAAACGAGAGGTTTTGGGCAGTGATGAGTGGCTATCTGCTGCAAGCTTTACGGCAAGCCAGCCTCCGACTCTTCAAGATGCCTATATGCTGGTCAGTCATTCTCTCCACGGGCAGAGAGAGACGCCTCCGTTGATAACATGTTCCGCACAGATGCAACGACATGCTTCCAAGAAGGTCGCGTCTGCCCTTGCTTAGCTTAAACGCCGGCTTGATTCATGCTGCCCGTGACATAACCCTGCTTGCAACCCAATGCTGCAGGTTTCGCAGACGCAGAAGACGACGCCCGCTGGCGCGGTCAAGTTGCGCGGCGTCGCCGCGTCTGGTCGGCCTCTTGGGGCCTTTCTTGCCGCCAGCTTCTGTGGTCGAGATGCAGCCTTCAAGCTAGACGTCAGCTTTTCCAATCGACTGGGGTCAAAGGAGACCTTCGCTGGTTAACCGAGAGCCAAGAAATGTTGGATGTAATGTGTTTAGTGAACCTAGCACACACGAAGTGGGACTTCGACTGGGGATGTGCTGAGGCATGCACAGTCTTGTAGACGAGCCGCTAGTTGAATGCGTAGGCACATACCTGGCGCCTGCGCAGTAGCGGTGGAGATGAGAAGCAGAAGCGATGCAAAGCACCGACAGTGCGAACAGCACAGCGCTAGCACCCCTCAGCCCTACAACCTTAACATTAAGCTTCGCGTACCTCAGGATCCTTCAAGTGAAGGAAGCCCTTTTTCAAAAAGTCCCATGCACCTCCCGTGATTCAGTGCTTTCCCACAGGCAAACTGCCGACCGAGTGCCAGAATGATCTGCCTTTGGATGCTGATACCGCCACCCGATACCGGAGCGGACCGAAGTCGGCATGCTGCTTTACTTGCAGAGCGATTTGCTCGATTACCAATATGCCATTCGGTACCTGAGTACAATGTCGCATTGCCCAACCAAGGGAGCATGGCAGCTGTTGCGCCATCTCACGAGTTACATCTTCAAGACGCAGAATGAAGTCCTGGGGCTGAGCGAGCCATCCTTGGATCAGTTGTGATCCGGAAGCAGGTTGAGGGCAGCTCCGTGTTGGAGCTGTTCACCGACCCCGACTGGAGCGGGAATAGAGGCACACCTAAGTCTGTGAGTGCCTGCATTGTGGCATGGGATGGAATGGTGATGCATGCCAGCAGTCGCACCCAGTTGCAGAAGAGTACGCTACAGGGTTTAAGTTGGGTGTTTCAGGGTTTAATGTAAATTTAAGAATTCTAAAAAGGTATTGAATAGAGTTTTAAGCTTTATTCCCCAGCAGCGTGAGCTATGGGGTCTTCCGCCGGGTTTGGGGCAGATTGGGGCGAGCATGTTCTGGGCAGGTGCCGCAGCGCATTTAAAATTTAAAGCTGTTTCAGCTTTGCTGATGTTCCTGGCCACAGTCCCCGAACCCAAGCCGAGCTCCCGAAATTCCCACCGTCTCTGCACTCCAAAATTGCACTGCCAATGCTTTAACTTGGTTTCCAGGGCTCCAAAATGTACTTGTCATGGTTTGGACAACGCATTCAGAGCTGTTTCAGCTTTGCTTTTGCAGGACCCGCTAAACGCATTTGGCCTTCGTTCCAACAAATCTGGAGCTCAGTGCCGTCCCTAAACCCAACAACCGTATTGAAATGCTTTAGGGCTTTAGTTTAGTTTGTATAGGGTTCCAAAATGCATTTTTCAATCCTTGGCAACGCATTTAGAGCTGTTTACTCTCGCAGCCCCCGACCAAACCCAAACGCATTTTCGAAGGCCTGCTGACTTCATTTGGCTTTTTGCAATTAAATCTGGAGCTCAATGCCGTCCAAAAACCTGAAAATCGTACTGCAAATGCTTGCGTTTGGTTTCCAGGGCCCCGAATTCTCCAAGATGCGTTTTGCACGGCTTGGAAAACGCAGTTAGAGCTGTTTCAGCTTTGCTGGGTTTGCTGGCCCCAGTCCCCGAACCGAAATCGAGCCCCCGACATTCCCGACCAACCCGAAATCCGAGGCACGCTAAACGCACTTGGCACTGGTTTCAACACATCTGGAGCTCAATGCAGTCCCCGAAAGAAAATGCAGCCACCCATGTGGAATGAGAATCTTGAACAGGCATGGACAACCCATCTACAGCTCTGTCAGCTTGTTTGGCGGCCTTATAATATGAGCCGAACGACAGCCATTCCGCTGTTGGGGATGTTCAATGGGATTATTCTCATTTTCATGCTTGTTATTGGGGGGGGGGTTGTATTGTTGTGTCGCCACAACGATTGTATATTGGTCTGTCGCTCCTTTACTAGCGGCCCTTGCCATGCTATTGATTTGCATTGTTACTTCGCCACAACGATTGTCTATTGCTTTCATTGCTCCTTTGCTAGCTGCCGTAATTGCTTGTCATGTTAAACTTGGTGTTGGGATTTCGGAGGTGCCTTGAAAATGAAGCCTCAGGCTTTCTACTCTATTTTGATTGACCATCAGCAGAACCAAAAAACATCTGCCGGGCCAAAAAAACGCATTATTGAGGACGGTCAAAAGTGCCGCATCCTGAATAAGTCAGCGCCGGGAGAGATGCGTTATAGAGGGCCATTTCCATTAAGCCCAAGTCAACATTCGGGCATGCATGCTTGCATGCGGTCTTGCTTCTTTGCATGCACTGATGGGCATAACACCTCCACCCCAGATGTCGGCATTTAGCACGAATGCAGTCGAAACAGTCAGAATATATGCATACTGTATACTTGTGTGCATTGTTGCTTCCTGATCGAAGCGGGAGCCGAGACATCAGCTTTGGCGGAGAGTTTGGCTGCCCTGGACCGGGACATCACTTCAAAAGCATTGGACGGAGGTGCTCAGTGGTAGGGCGGGATAGACAGCAAGAGCGTGGCACAAGCTGAGATCCGGATGCTCTGTTCGTGCCGCTGCGGCCGCCTTCCTCCATTTATTGCCAGGCAAGGCTTTCTGACTGCACGGAGGATGCGTTCACCCGACAGCTTGTGTCAGGCAGTCGTAACCCTCTGGCGGTTCATTCATGATGCCTTGGATGCTCCGCTCAGTCTGGCACTCCAGCCACTGGGTGGTGCCTTGCCGTCGTTACTTCTGGCAAGGTCTTGGCCTCCCTGTGGACATTGTGGTCAGTCCATTTATCAAGGATTTCCTTGGGAAGGCAGGGCGGAATCTAAAAAGTGTGAACCCTATGCAATCGGCAATTCCGCATCCCGCATGTGCCGATATGCACGGAGGTGCTGCAGCGGAGTGCCGAGCGTCTTGTGAGACCCTGTGAAGATCGAGAAGCCTTCGGGAGCCGAGCTTGAAGTGGTCACGGAGAGCTTGGTTTTGGTTTTCACAATCGTCTGCAGGATGTCCATTCGCGCGGCTCAAGTGGCCGATGAACTGAAGAGCACGAACTGTGCAGTAGATTCTGAGGAGGCACGTGTGCAAGCCAAGAGGAGCCGTCTTGCAGCGGGGAATGCGAGGAAGAAGGTCCTGCAAAGATAGCTGATGCAAAGCGATCGAGCGGCAGGCGAGCGCACACATCTCAAGTCCAGAAAGGCACCGCCAGAACAAAGCATTGCAGGGGAAGGAAGAAGTTCCTTACGAAGCGTGTGCCTTGGGGTTGACTTGTTGAGCCGGGTACAGTGTGCCTGCGCATTCTCACGGCTATACATGCTGTGGCCTATAGAACTCCCAGCTGGCGCAAATTCCAAGGCTGTCTGGGCGGAGCTTTCCCGAGGACTGACATGCGCAAATGTCATGTGCAAATAGTTGTGCAACGAAGTGAAACTCTTTTAACTTTTTGTCCCTCCTGCAGCGAAGACAGATTCGTTTTTGTCCCTCTTGATAGGGTTCTCAACAAGCTGTCTGTCTGCATAGGCGACTCCTGCATACAATGAGCTTTCCCGAGGAGGTGACGAAAAACAGTGTAATGGAGGCGAGGTCCCTCTCGCAATCTTCAGCAGTCGTTCATGTGGCATTGCGGCACTGCCCTTGCTAGGTGCGGCTGCATGAAGTGAGCTCCAAGGTGATTGCGGCTCCAGTGCGGCAGGTGATTGAAAGTGCGGCTGGTGGACCTGTTTAGCCAAAGAGAATTCCTGTGCAGGTCATGGTGCGACTGTCATCGATCGGGTTTTGCCTGGCAGAGCTAGCAGACGTGCACACCAAGCTCTTCAAGATGGCCTTTCCCCGACAAAAGAAGTCCGTCAAGGTTCGCCAAACTTTGAAGACTGTCGGTGCTAAGCGTTGAGGTGAACTCGGGCGATGACGATGGGGTTCCCACTGCTCGCCACAACGAAGCTCGGATGCTGATCTGCGAGGAGCAGGGCTGCAGGGCCATGGAAGCTGCGTGGCTGCGTGTTCGCGACCAGGAGCTGCCGGAGTTGCAGGAGAGCCTCTTGCACCAGGCGGGCTGCGTGGGCCGTCGGTTCGGCTTTGGAAAGCTTTTGTCAACTTTCAGAGACTGTCGTTCGGACGACAGAAGGGCAAGACAGCCTGGAAGAAAGTCGCTGCCGGACCTGCCTGGACCATCCGCTTCATGACGACCCTATGACACAGAAGATGCAATTTGCAGCAAGCGCAATATGTCATGCTGCGGCTGCAGGGGCAAACCCTGGCCAGGCGACCTCAAGGGCTCCAGGGCTGGGTGTCACGGTCAGCGCTTCCTGGGACATGAGCATTTGTCAGGTATTTGGCAGCACGACCGGCACTAAGACCGAGCAAACCATATCAGGTTGCGGACTGTGCTGTGCTCAGGTCTCGTGTACCATGAGCTACGTGCCGAGAGCCGGCCTCAGCGTGTGTTTTCTTAACGTGGCAGCTGTTCCATCTTATGGGGCTACCCGTGCTTGTTGCCGCTGCTCTGCGACCCGAGAGCCGCATGACCCACCCAGGCTCTTTGAGAAGTTGTACTTTGTTGCAGTCCCAGGCATCTCAGCCGTTTGTTGCCATTGTTTGGTATGTGCAGATGTTCTGGCATCGAAGGTGGAGGCACTCCAACGCCAAGCAATGCGGTTGGCAGCTTCACACCTCGCAGCGCTCCGAGACTGTGAGTCCGATGCTCTCCCAGACAGGGGAAATCTCCTCTTTTGTGCAGAGGAGCTTCGACCACACCGGCATCTTTTCTCGAGAGCGGCTCCGGCCCCACCCTGCTTACGCTCAAGGCAGAGAAAGCCCCAAGAAAGACAAAATCAGCCCCTTGTATCCATCTAATCGGGACAGAGGACATTGTGGCCTGTCGCCAAAACAGCTTCCTGAGCAGCGCTCCAAGATGTGAGAGACCGAAGCTGTCCAAACCATGAGAGCTGCGTGCACTTTCAGGTCTTGTCGAGCAAGCCCCGTCAGCCTTGCTTGGTGCTTTTGTCGCCATCAGCTCGGAGAAGTGTGTCGAACAATGCATATACGCGGTGGTGACGTAAGACGCAGGCGGAGCTCGGAATTGAGCTTACACATGCTTGGATGTATGCCGTGACCCTCAGTCTCCAGTTTGACAAGGTGCAAGCGGGTGAGTGCATAAAGCAGAGGTCATCGTCGACTACTTGCGCAAGCAGCAGCTGGACCAGGCACAGCCCGGCCCGGCCCTATGGGCCTAGGCATTTTTCCAAAGTCTCTCGCCTGGCAGATCTACGAGCACCTCGCGAGCGATCAGGAAGCACTGAGTCGAGCGCTTTACCCTTGGAGACCTCAGCGGTGACCTGCGCTTCTCACAGCTCGAAAAGCGCTTAGGATCGACTCCATGATGCAAGCAACGCGGCAGCGAGTGCAAACGAAAGCACTAGGAGGCTGGTGCGAGGCTCAGCACTGGGCCAATCTGCCGCGTTGGGCGTCCCAGGACTCACGCTGGAAGATTGCCGAAACGCAGAGAAGCGTCTGGAAGAGGCCTTCCTGCCAGCAGCCGGAAGCTACTGGTACACAACATTTAGATACGGCCCTGTCAGTAGAAAACCCAATTGCTCTGAACCATACAGGTTCTCGATGTTACAATTGCAGCATGGGCACAGCTGTAGACTCTTGCTATGTCCGCGAAAACACGCAAGAGATATGGCCAACCTGGGACAGCAAGCTGGAATATGGATGCAGATGAATTCTGACACATTGAATTTTGTCATAACAGGGCCGCTCCAGAACCCAAGTTCTGATTTGATGCTTCGTTGACGACATCTGGTGTCGCTGTGCTGATGTGAAGCGTTGGCGACATACCCTTCCTCATCAGAACATCAGAGTGGTTGGAAGGAAGGATTTTGAGAATCTGAAGATGATGCCAGAGGGCGAGCGAGGACGAACGAGAGACAGACAGAGAGACTCCTTTCTTATGTTTCTTAAATTAAAAATTACCTTCGAGCTACGTGTTTTTTCCACCCCAGCTGCGGGCCTGCCTGGAGCGCGAGCTGTACGAGGCCCCTCAATCCCTACAGAAGAAAAGATAGAACGAAGTACCGTTTCACAGCCGGGGACGAGAAAGCCTGCTCTGGAGAAGTTTTAGTCGAGCGTTCAGGGTTTGGGTGGAGCCTCTCATCGGCGACTCTGTTTCGGGCAATCGTGTCACAAATCGTGCGAAAGGAGAGGGCATACGTTGAGTCCGAGCTGGATCCTCAAGAGCAAGAAAGACAACCACAGCCTTGTTCTTGCGCCGAAAGCAAGAAAGAGCGAACCTAGGGCGCCTTGAAAACTAGTAAGAAGAAGGCGAGAAAGAAAGATTCAGAGAAAGAATTAAAGAACAAGTCATCCACAGGTCCAGCGGCTTTCGCAGTGTCTCATTGAGGAGACCCGCGTTCGCACGGTGATGCGCTTGTGATGAATCCAGTCTTGGAGCCGGCTGCAACCGAACGGGCCAAGGCCGAGGAACTTGCCCGGTATGCTGCGAAAGTGCGAGGCCCGCAGCGTTGCCAAACATTCAAGAACGCGTCTTAGACAGAGCCGAAGATGGGTGCCACAGGCAAAGGTCTGAGGCCTTAGGCTTGCAACGCTACATTACACTTATCAGTCTACCTTTTGGGGGAGATGTGGCTTCCAAACATGAACACCAGGAATCGGCAAAGGAGGCCTCGAAGTTCTCGTTTCAGCAGTGAGGAGTAGAGAGCCGTACACAATCTCGTAGTTCTAAATTCGAGGGAACTTTCCGCACTGATGGGGAGGATTAGAAGAGTGGGTGGCCGAACCAGCCCATGAGCCAGGCGAGTTTTCTCAAGAGGGACGTGATGCCGGGCCATCGGTTTTGGCAGGGCTTGCCTGGTGCAAAACGGGTCTGGGCCTAGAAGTCCGCTTGAACGGTTTTGCAGGCGCGGGAGCGTTCGCAAACTCCCACTCCTTTGGGCCCTCGACTTGGATCAAATCTTCCTCCTCGGTCGTTTGGTCGTTCCAACCAGCCCTGCAGGTCGTTCCAAGTCGCCACACCCGAGGCACACAACCCGCAGGGTACCTGCCGTTGGCACCCGTTTTGCTGCAGGTCTGCATCCCCATCCGGAGCATCTGCGGGTGCTTTTGGCGGTTACTCGAGGGGCAGTTGCGAGATCTCGGAGTGGTGACGTTAAGGAGACTTGTGACACGACCGCAGGCTACTACTCACCCCGTAGCCCATCACCGGTGCTGATATCGCGCGGTGCTGAGACACAAGAGACGTCAACCAGTCGATCTCCATCTTGACATGGACGAGGCCACGAGAAGGTCCAGATTCTCAGGCAACTTCCAGCAGGCATTCCCAGTTTTGTGTTTGCTCGAGAAGTCTGCTGGCCTAGAGAGAAGTTTTGCGACAGGTCGGCAAAGCAGCGATTCCAGGGAGCCTGGAAAGCCATGAAGTGCTCTGCTTAGCTTCCAAGCAGCACAGGCAGCACTGGACTGTTGTCATGGGCGGGGCTTTCCAGGCGCTTGGGGAAAGGACACAAGGAGATGGATGTCAGGCCTGGGATTTCGCCGACAGCAGTCGCAGGAGACAAGCATGTACCAACTTGTCAGGGATTCTCGACAATGAGATGCACAAGGCTTGTCGAAGCTGGCTATGCCCGTAGGCGTGTCTCGTGCAGAGGGGGCAGTGCAGTCGACGGCCAGAACTTGCACAAGTAGATGGGATGGACACATGGCGTTTACGCCGTACTGGAGACCTTCCAAGAAAGTCCCAGTACTTAGTTTACAGGTTTAAAGGTTTACCGCGAGTTTGCATCTTGACAAGCAGGATGCACCAAAATTTCATGCCGTCTCACCGTTTTGAGCAAGTGCAAAAGCACAAGCATCAGATGTTGCATGATGTTCTGTGGCAACTTTGAGATTTCCTGGTAAGTCTTTTTGGGGCTGTGATTCTGGACTCTCCGGTTGCAATGATCTTGGCAGATGACCCGTCGATTTGTGATTCTCGCTCCACACCTGCACACGGGGCTACCCACCACACACCACCGTACAACTCCCGAACATGCCCAACAACATCTGCCGACCCACCGACGAGGCAATGGCAATCAAAGAGCGCTCTTTCCACAACCCCAAACAATAAAGGCCCAAAACCCACCTAACACCTTGGAGTAGACACTAGGTCAGGACACCTAGCCCCCTTCGGCTTCTCCTCATTGTTGAAGAGCATTGAAGAGCCCTTGCCTCGCGGTGGTTCTTGACAGCCAGTGAAAAACACAATTCCCCACTTGGCTTTGTGGGTTCTCTATTGGAGCAGCATTTGTCTACATCAACAAAGGTTCGGCAAAAGGAAACCACCCAAGTTACCTGCAGCCGCCAATGTAGCCTCTTTTTTTGGCTAACCAAGGTTGTGGTTCGGTTCCTATAGCCTGTGCTACCATCATTAACCAAAAAAGGAATTACATTGGAAACTGTAGGTATGGTGCTTCGTTGTCATCTTGGCGTGTCGCACCAGCTTTCTACTTTCTTCTTTGGCCGCTCAACACCCTAAATTCCACGCTTGCTGCATAAATGCGAAACCTGGCACAGGTGCTTCGGCTCAAGTCGAAGCACAAACTCCAGTACTGTGTCATTTCCACACCGGTTGCGAAGATGCGGCATTCACGTCAAAGCACTTTCCAGCCACAGCAGCCTCCTGCGGAAGAGCTGGCGAGGGTCTCGCTCGGGTTGCTTTCATGGGCATGGTCATGCTTCACAGAATCGTGGGCTGCTGACGAATGAAGGACGGGTAGGATCAGTTTCGTCGGGTCTCGGATCCAAGTGGGGGTTTCCGGATATTTGGGATCCCTGTTCGGGTGTTTCCCATACTGAGACTATATATCGTATTTCGTGGCCTGTCTTCGTGTGTAGCAAGAGCAGCAGCAGCCACAGCAACAGCCACGGCCACGGCAACGGCAGCAGCAGCAGCAACCAGCAGCAGCAGCAGCAGCAGCAGCAGCAGAAGCAGAAGCAGCAGAAGCAGCAGAAGCAGCAGCAACAGCAACCAGCAACAGCAACCGCAACGGCAACGACAACGGCAACGGCAACGACAGCGGCAACGGCAACGGCAACAGCAACGGCAACGGCAACAGCAACAGCAACAGCGACAGCAACAGCAACAACAACAACAGCAACAATCACAGCCATTGTTTTGTTGGACGCTGAGCGAGCGGGCTCTGCTCGTAGCGGGCGCATCAGAAACTGCGGAACGTGCCGTAAGCCAGCGCCGCCCCTTAGTAGCTGACCTGCCGACATCCTCAGTGTCACTGCATACTGCACACTGCAGTGGCAGCTCTTCAGCGTTTGCTCCAAAGAGGCCAGGTCACCTGACTTTGCTATCATTTCCCAAGAGCGGTGCCCTGGTTTTGTCACGGGCGGTGCCCGCGACTCCTCATGTGACAGCTAGGCTCACAAGGTCTTTGTCATGTAACCTCCGTCACCCTCAGTGTAAGTCATTGCGTCCAGTACTCACTAGCTGGCAGCCGGTGCGTCGAACTCAGAAGATCAAGCCGTCTCCCAGAGTTCCCGTCTATTGGCGTCCCACACTAGGCAACTCCCGACTACCAGCGATGGGCCCGGACTGCAAAACCAGTGCATCCAGGACGAGGGTTTCGGCAAGCAGCTGCAGGACGAGTCGGAGGTGCGACAGGAGTGGGTCTTTGGCAAGATGGCAATGCAGCATCGTTTCCTTCTTGTTCTTAGTACTACTATGTTACCCTCAATATTATCATTATTACTATCATCATTTTGAAATCATTATTGTTTTTGTTGGCTTTTGCTTGTAAACACAGTTGTTGTATTGAAACCATTGATATTCGGCCTACAACGGGGTGGGTTATCTTGTGTCAACCCGTGTGAAGATGTGCTGGCTATAAAGTGTAAGGAGTCCTTAAAAGCATGTTTGCGAATAACATGTCTTGGGATGCTTGCTACGGGGTACGCTTCTTGAGCTTTCACACGGCATTTCCATGAGCCGGCAGGTTTTTCGTTAAGACGTGGTGCAAGTTAGCACTGCTGGATCGGCGTACAGATCCACAACAGTTTGTGAGATTCTTGATAATAGCTCGCGAGCATGACTTGGCTTGTCAAAGCTGGCGTTTGATGCAAGGTCCAGTCTGCAGCCCCAAACCAAACCCCCCAGAACGAAAGTCTTGGGGGTAGGCTGTGTGCAGAGCATTGGCAACCACAATATCGCATGGTGCAATAATAGCAATACGGCAATATAATGATAACAGCACAACAACAGAACATTATGCTGGCGATAAGAATAACAACAGGGTACTAGGCTGGGGGTTGTGTAAATCGTACCTTATCGGCTTTAACTTTGGCATTGTGTCACTCTCTTCAAGCATGTTTTTCATTGTTGTCACGACAATTCGGTGTTCATACTTGATCATGTTTTTTATATTTGTATTTCAAGGACGACAAACGTTGCTTTTCTTGCTCAGCTGCAACAAATGGCTAGCACCGCAGATCCGTTTCATAATCATAATGCGACATATTAGGTGCCTGGAGACAATGCGCAATTCCTGCACCCATCCAGGCTCAAATGCCGATGGGCTCGCAAGCAGGGAAGGCCGTTGCGGAGATCGTGGTGTGCTCGGTCTTGTTTCTTGACAAGCAGAGTCGCTTGCAGGCATCCGCTCTTCCCGAGTTCCCGATCTCGGATTCACAGCATCTCGAGGATTCCTGATGCTGCAACGCAGCTCCAGGGCAGCTTTGCAGCGCATTGGCCTCCTTGTGTGAGAGGAGCTGGCTCTTTGGGGAGCTCGTGCGAAAGGCAAGCTTTCGTGAGCTGTGTCGGAAGTCCTGGTGTCTCGAGTCTGTGATTCCCAGGTCACGATGGACTTGTCTTTTGCTCAGAGATGAGTGCGGACATCTGGATTCTGACGTACTCTTCATGACCGGCCCAGGATCAAGGGTACTGGCAGCCTTGGGGACCGCCTTCCGACCTCCAAGACGTGGCGCGCGCCGAGAAGGAGCGACGGAGCATCAAGACTGGGCCGCTGCCTTCGTGCGTGCCCAAAATGCACTGTGCCTTTCCCTCGCCCGAAGCCTTTGCGGATCAAGATCCTGCGCACCCCTGCGCCGGTAGAGCTCTCGACATGCAGGGCACATTCGGGTCGGCCGCCATAAGATTGGATGCCTTGGAGGCTGAGTTGAATCAGCTCCGAACACAAGAGGCACAGTTTCTTCAAGGCCCCGAGGGGCTGCCAACGCTCTTTGCGTGTCCATAATATGCACTCCTCAGGCGCCCAATCCTGCCCAGCTCGCTAGCCTACCTTGAGCCCTGCCAGGATTTGCGGCACCCTCACGTCTGCCGCCCCTTGCCTCGGTGTCACCGACACCTGCAACGAATCCCAGCTCGGCCAGGATAAATGGACCCAGTCCCTGTCCGACCGCACGGGAGGAGCGTGAGGACTACGCTCTTCCCAATGAGAAGGCGTTCAAAGAGTTGATGCTTGCGCACCGGGAGTTGCTCCAGACGCTAACGATGCAGGCTACCGGGCAGGCAGAGCTTGTGAAGCAGCATTCCGAGCTGATGAAAGCTCACCAGGAGCTTCTCAAGCTTCGCTCTGTGCCAACACCGACGCCGCCGGCCGAGGTGAGGCCTGCGGGCTCCGCGAATCCTCGCATTCGCAGGCAGAAGAGTCGTCACTTTGTCAGCAACGACATTGATTTGCAAGCTCCAAGTGAGCCAACCCTTTTGGATAACACCCTGCTCTTCCTTCCAGAACGAGCTGTCCGTGACATGTCTCTTGAGCCCAATATGAACGACAAGAGTGACAATGACAAAACCATGTGGAGTGGACGTGTCTGGGAGTTGAGGGAGCTCATGGCCACTTTCCACAGAGACAAGTTGGCAAAGATTGCATCCGACACCGCTCAACTCACTGAATTCAGAAAGCGTGAGCTCAAAGCCAAAATGAAGGATCCCGAAGTGCGACAAGCTTTGAGGAAGTTCGCGGCGAGGTGGCGAGGTGCAGCCTATCGCAACCGCTGCAGCTTTGCGGTGCTTGATCGCTTGAAGTATTCAAACTTACGGGGCACACTGATCTATGCACATGGCTCCGGAGGCTGCAGTTGGGACAACTACCGAATATGTCGAATGATAGCTGGCATGGGAATCCTGGTTATCGCCCCGGATGGTTTTGCATATCCAAAGAACACTGCTATGGGTCAGATGAGGCACAAGGAACTAGCACCTCTGCATAAAGCTACAGATGATGTGGACTACTGGGCCAACGATCTTGTGTACACTTCCGGTGCAAACGGGACGTTCAATTACTCCAGTAAGGCAGCATCAGCACCAGAGTTGCAATTCAGAGCTCATTCAGGACCTTCGGTTGATGACACAGATCCTGCATTACCTTAAGGACCCTAAACTATTGGAATCAGGGTATATTCCTTATTATGAGTAATGCAGGATTTATATCATCAACCGTAGGGACGTTTCGGGCACGGCAGCACATAAGTGTCAGACCTGACAAGGTACTGCAGAAGCCCGACGAGTACAAGGACATCTACGAGAAGTGCTACCAACTGCGGCGGTCAGAGCTGCACTTCACGATCACCCACCTGCCACACTGGATTCACTCTCAAGGCTTTTATTTAGGAGGCACATCTGAAGGAGCTATGACAGTTGCACGGTTCGATGACCAGAGATATGGTGCCATGCTCATCGGGCGCTTCATCAACTCCTTCAGCATCGAGTACTGTTACTTTACGCCCGAACCGGAATCAGGATTGATCGGTGGTCAGCTGGATGTGCCGACGTTGAATATCATCGGCACGAAGGACCAGTACTTCGGGAAGGAGGATTCAGTGGCGAAGTTGGTGGCGGAGAACGGTGCAACAGGATATGGCGACAGGAATATCACCGGAAATGGGTACAATACTCTTGTTCGACAAGGAGTGGACGTGGGCCTGGTGTGTGTTTTGGAGATCCTTGGCCATGACATAAGACTAAGAGCTGTTTGAGACGGTTACTGTCGTTCTGTGTACGTTTATAACCCCGTTCAACACAATCAGAATCGTTCCGCCTTTGCCAGGGATGGAGTGCACTCCCCATGCAACACCCACGACAACTTCATGCGGCAGATCTTCAACACCTTCTTCTCCAGGATTCGTTGCATGTGCACAAGTGTGTCGCCAAGCAAGCTTTAGTCAAACAGACAGCGAGTGGGAGAAGGACAACGAGGAAGACAACAAAAAGGGAAGATTTCGCGCAGGGGGGTGGTCTCAATGCCTCCCCACTCTCCGAGGCGCAGCAACAGGAAGAGACGGCAGGCAGTCCTCTGCCTTGATCTCTGATGAGATGACGTGGGACCACGAATCAACAGTTTAGCATGGTGTGCAGAATCCATGGCACAAAGCGAATTCGGCGTGTTGGCCCGATAAGATGCTGTCCTGCCCACGGCGGGCCCCGATCAAGAGAGAGAAAATCGATTGTCTCACAGCGGCGCAACCTACTCGAGTGACTAGGGGATTTCGCCTGTTTGACTACCGAACATTGACTTGTTTCCTAGAAAGCCTCTTGCCGGGACAGTGGCAGAGGTCCCGAACCGAGCAGTGCGGAGCCGATATCGGTACACAAACTCCACACACACAGACTGCGACGACTATGCAAAGGACACAGAGAAGGGGAGAGACACATGAGACATGCGGTCGTGGTTACAGTTCGTACGGTGTTTGCTGGTGCAATGCGCCCCAGCACTCGGCCATCGAAGGAAGCTTTGTCGATGCGGTTCTCCGTACAACCCCACTAGCGGGGTAGCATCAGTCAACCGGCCGAGGATTATTTGCAGTAGACTCACGCACAACTGTGGGGGGCAAACTTTTTCGGAGCTAGGCCAACAGGGGCAGGCACGGGACAGGACTCACTGTAGGTGAAAGGAGGGGATGCGCTGTTTCTTCGCTGCTCTTCCTTCAGCCGTGTAGGCAAGACAAGACAATGTGCAAAGTGCCCTGGTGGTTGCCGATCGGTTTTCTGGATTCGCCCCTGTCAAGAGGACGCAATCCATCTGGGAGCTGCATTTGCGACTCCGAAGCATTATGCGCAAGAGAGAGTGTTGGGACTGCCATCGTAAAAACAGGATTTGGGCCGTGGATCCAACTATGAGGGCCCTGGTTCAACTCGTCGCGGTCTCAGCTTGGAAGCTGGGCGGAATTTGAAACCGTTTCGTTATTCATGCGACCCAGGAGGACACTACTGCCGTCGGTGAAGGAATGATTGGCAAGAACATCACGCGACTCTTCGTGCCCAAGATGAAGTACCCCAACAGGATGAGTTTGCGCCAGGTTGAGATCTTGCGGTCCTTCAACAGTCAGGACGAGCTTCGGGATGCGATGGTCAAGGAGAAGTGCATCATTGAGGCAGAAAGGACAGAAATCAGGGAACAGCTGGACCGCGTTCGGGTGGAGGCAGCCAAACAGCGAAACTTGAAATTGACGGGAAAGCCCGCATCGTATTTTTATGCAAAAGACAAGCTTGCTATCAAGTGTGCGTGGAAAGACTGGCTTAAAATGCACAGTTCTTGAAACATCGCATGCGCAAAGATTGCTGCGAGAGTTTCACATGTCGCAACACCTGGAATGTTCGGACGTTTCTGTCCGAAGACCTGAATATCAGGCGCTACCTGCAGCTGCAAAGCGGCCAAGATAATGCTTTCCGGCGAATGCTGGCTCGTGATTCGAGCTCAGCCCAGACGCATTTCGAGCTGAGAAGAGCACGACTCGTCGAAGTCAATGCGTGGAAGACTTCCTTTGCTTGCTGCTGGAGGACGCCCTCGGTGCCTACTCCCAGTGGACGACCAAGCAGCTCAGGAGCACCGAGAGAGACGCGCGCGAGAGACGAGAGAGAGACGCGAGCCCGGCCTCTTCGCAGAGGAGCCAGCGTGATGCAGTGGCACGCCTTGCTGCAGCGCACGTCCAGCTCCAAAAATGTTCGCTCCCTACGCCCCAAGAGAGGCTGACGCAGCGAACTTTTACTCGTATTCCTCCTCCCAGGTATCAGTGAAGATCTCGTGGATGGCAAAGCTAACTTTGCCTCTGCCGTGGTGCGCACGTCAGTACGATTTTTGTACAAATTTCATTATCGAAGCTCTCAGCTGAGGTGATGTTGACGGAAATGCCGAGACGGATGCAAGTGATGGAGGCCGGTCAGGGACGCCTATGAGACAAGCGGAAATTTGGAGAGGACAGTCGTGATCAGCATGCAGTCGACATGGTTTCGATCCGCAAACTTCCACAGTTTGAAACCTGGCGTCGTTTACGGCTTCCCAAGAGCCGAAACTTTTCACGAAAGCTCGCTCGTCAGGAGCCTGAGTTTAAGACCCAGCTTTGCACAGACTTGGCCAGATCTGATTTGGGCTGTTGGGTTGGTGCTCGTAGTTGGTTGAGGATGTCGGGGTTGGGCTGTGCCCCGGGTCTGTTTGTGTGAGCTTGCGCCTCAAACCATCGCGTGCTCTGACGGGCAGGATCGGGTGCAGACTCTGGAATGCCGCGTTCAGCTATTGAGCGATAGCACGCTGAGTCCACAGCCACAGCCCAACGCTCAGCTTGAGTTGCATTGGCGTGCGAAGTGGCTTCGCGTCGTTTCGCACTCGAACGGCCGTCTCGTCTGAGGCCCAGGGTTGAGGACTCAGATGGGCAACTCTTTTGCTTCTTGGCATGGAAGACTGATTGAGTGCTTTGGGAGGCCTCGTCCAACGCATTGAAGGCTCCTCCCAGCGTCTCTGACAAGCCTTCGGAGGAGGCGTGGTGGGCCTCCTCGGACTCGGCCAAAAAAAGGGGAGCTTCCGGAAGAGGGGCGCGCAGCTTCCGTCTTCCCTCTGAGGCGGTGAGGGAGTGCAGAGAAGCGGTGGGTGTCATGTTGTCCATGCAGCAGCGGCAGCCTCAAGAACTAGCAGTCACTCGCAGCATGAGATTGTCTGAGCCTTTGCCTTTCAGCGGCGGAAGGAACATGAAGCAGGAGTTGGCAGCGATTGAGGAGCACCTGTCCATGAGGTTGGAATTGTCTTGGCACAGCAAAGGGCGCGGCACATCTGGGCCCGCAGGTCGAATGACTTTGAAGCATCTTTGCGGGCTGCTGCGAATGCCAACCATGACGCGGTACACACCCTCTTCGCGTCGCACAGCCAAGAAGTGGAGGCACAGATCCGAAGAAGCTATCAGTGCTTCTTTGGGACGGCCCTGCAGTCGCAGGCCCTTTATGCGCGGAGCGCTGCGTGTGAAGAAGGCTCCTCATGTTGTATCAGCAGCCTATGCCGGCACGGGACACCGAGATCTGGCAGGGCTGCAAGATCTGCAGACTCAATCATTGCTCCTCGCCGAGTGGAAGGAAGCTCATCTGCTTTGTCATGAGTTTGAGAACTGGTCGTCATGCCCAAAGCCTGAAGGACGGGGCGTCTTCTGACCTTTTCGAATGTGCGAGGCGATTGACGGAGGTCCCGCGTTCTGAAACCGTCAACGTTGTCCGTGATCTGCCGGGCCGGGACCCTCTCAAAGGTGGAGAAGGCCACCAAGGCCGCCAAGGCCGCCGTGGTGACGAGCTCAGGGCATTCGACGACATTCGTCTCTCTCCAAATGTCAGGAATTCACGGACAGGATTTCGACAGGCCCGGCCTCTGGACTGGACCATCCGTGGACATGGGTTTGGCGGTGGCTCTCCCCCCTTCTCTACGAAGCGCTAGTCACTCTAGTCTTTATCTCTGCAGGCTGCAGTGCGCTCTTTGAAGAAGTCGTGACCTTTCTTCACGTCATGGCACTTTTGCTTATGTGGGTGAAGGGGTATGGATTCTCACAGACATGGCGAGACTTTTTGGTGGCACCTTCTCGTCAAATCTTTGGAGAGCTGCATGAATCGCATTGGCATGAGTCCCTCTCTTTGGCTTGAGGCGAAAGGTCGTCAGGTGCTGTAAAGTAAACGCTACGCCTGCACGCCTCGATGTCCGTTGAGCAGTCCCTGAGCTTCTTTGGAGGCTGGGCTTTGGGCAGCTTTTGCGCAGTTGGGGAGTCTGGGACTCTGCAAGCAAAAATTTGCTCTCTCTCAAAATTGCTTCTCTCGTTTTTTGTTCTCTCTCTCCCATTGCCTTGGTCTCGTAGCGAGCCCTCTGCGGGAAACGGAGGACTGGGGCAAGAGCTTGTTGTATCGTTCGGTGCAGTACAGCACTCAACCCTGATCATTGCGCTGTTGAAGGTAGAGGGGTGAAGCATGGCAGGTGGTGGAACGGCTGCTGCCGGCAGAGCAGCATCAAAAACTGCTGCAGAGTGGGCCGCAGAAGTTTAAGACCATGTGTGGAAGGTGTGCAGAACGTATCAGCTCATAATCGTGTCCACAATGCCCAGGCAGCTGGACTGGATGAGGTCGACGGGTTGATGTTTCTTTCCAAGCCTGTCGAGTGTTGCTTAGACGTAATTCACTTCAAAATTGTTCTGCTTATAGATGAACTGACGATGGTCTGTCTGCCCGGAGGGTTTGCGCGCATCCGTGGTGCCTGAGGATGCAGGCTTAAAGGGTGGGGAGAAGGGGTTGAGATGCGAAGCATGCAGGGTTGCAACAAGCAGAGGACAGGTGATGCAAGCCAGGGCGACTTCAAAAATTGCTGTTGCCGGGGCCTCGGCCGATCGCGTTGCCTCGTCCTGTCATTTTCGTGCCTGCGGCATCTGGTTGACAAGGCCCAAGGTGTTGCATCAGACGAGGCCGACCGGCTGGTCATCGCTTTCCGGCTTGCCATGCATTGCTTATGCGGTGAATTCGAGAAATGATGCACATTGTAATCTTCCCAGGGAGCTGTCGAAACCTGTGACAACGGCTTTGTCTGCCCGCAGGTTCTGCCCGCATCCACGGTTTCTGAGGATGCAGGCTAATTGGGCAGAGAAGGGCAGCATGCAGCGGCGTTTCAACGGAGTCCACGCGGCTAGTGCTCGTGTGGACTTGGAGGACAGGTGATGCAAGCAGCCAGGGCGACTTCAAAAATCGCTGTTGCCGGGGCCTCGGCCGATCGCGTTGCCTTGTCCCGTCATTTTCGTGCCTGCGGCATCTGGTTGACAAGGCCCAAGGTGTTGCATCAGACGAGGTCGACCGGCCGGTTCAGTTTTCCATCTTGCTTAGCATGGTCCTTGCTTTCAGAGAACTTGGGAATTTCTGAGGCTGTGCGAAACGTGCAGGACGTTGCTTTGGTGGTCACTTGTCTGTTTTCTACATCCTTTTTGGCTACAGTGCACTGCTGTAAACAAGAGACTGCAAGAGCTCGCAGGAAGTAGCCATAAAGGCACTGGATGTCGCGCAGAAGGCACTTCTGATTGCAGAGGACAGATGCCCCGTTGTCCGTTTATGGCATCTGTGTTGTAGTCCGGTGTCATGATGGAGGAGACACGCGCGCAAGGTTCCAAGACGTGCAAGGCTTTGCAGCTTCTACCTGATGTCGACGGTCTATAGAGTCGCTGTCCTTCGCCATTTTGAGCGTGAGACCTGCGAGGATGTGGACAAATTTGCATCACCGAAGCCAGCTGGAACTTGGTTGAGGACCTAGATACTGCGAAGTTTGATGCAACATGTGTTCATGCATGTGGATTCGAGGCCTTGCCGACCCCGGGCCATCGGCCAAGATCCGGAAGCACACATCTGCTAGCGAAGCCTATTCTTGGCTTGCACTGGTTTCAGGTGCTGCAGGGCTGCCTCCCCTATCTACCCCCGTCTTCGCTGGCGCATGCATGCTCCTCAGTTTTCGCCTTGGCCTTCACCATGTACTCGAAAAAGCTCGGAGTGGGAGCCACGCGGTCGGCAACCTTGCTGTCATTCGCAAATCTCGTCGGCTGCAACAGTGCAGCAACTTCCCCGGCACGGGAGGTGTCATCATCATGCTTCAAAGCATGAGAAGCTTGAAAAGGGGAACTGCTGCAGTCACGGAAGATAACAGCGGGAGCATTCAACTCAACTGCTCCAGGATTTGATAAACCAAGTGATTGATAAACCAAGTGACCCCCAGCCAAGATGATTAATGGGGCGGATCAGGGCGCATGACCATATGAACCTCAAAGCAGATCAATGGGATGCCCAAAAAGGCTCGAATACGGGTTCCTTTTCCACCGGTCCTATCGGAACGAACCAGCTCCATCAATTCCCCAGTCGTCTCAATCTGCCATCGTTGATATAGTGACTTTGGTTCGACTGCCTTGCCAGAGGAGGTGCAGCGGCATAAGCAGTGCATCCCCCAGCTTGAGCACCAGCAGGCTCACACCTAGAGAAGCTGAGCCTGAGTCTGCACAGGCGATCACCTGATTGCCGAAAAGATAGAATGCAGCGAGCTCGTGCTGCTGTCTGGAAGGAGCACGGAACAATGCGAGAATTTCCCGACAGTTGCGAGGAATGGCTCATGGCACGATCGGTCTCCCAGCAGCAGTGCCACAGATGCCCGACTGCAAATCAGAGTCCAGTTCCCTGATTCCATGGGGCAGTAGCTGCAGCTGTCCGCTTCCACAGGGTTCGGGTTCCGGAATCCGCGAATCTGATAGGGCCACGAATCCAATCAGATTGGCCCCAAGGGCGATTATGCAGGGTGCGAGATGGCTCAAGAACTCAACCGAGTACGCTTTTGACGGTTCGGATTTGGCCGGAACTGATCATTTTTGAGGTTGGGTCGGTTGGAGTCTTTTCGCAACCACTCACTCCTTCAGGGTTTTTGGGCTAGTGCGGCTAGTGAGGACCAGTCAACACATTGAGACACTTCTTCTGAGACTTTAGGATTCTGCAGCACTCATTCCGTGCTGCTTGGCTTACCAGGAATTCTACCCTGTGGGGTTCTGGTTTTGTGTGAACCATTCACTCTTGTGGGGGGTTGGTTGTTGTGCAGCCACCGATGGATGTTGGTGTTTGGATGTCAATGGTTGTTGTTGGGTTTGTGACAACGAGACACTTCCTGGGTCTGTTCAGGGTATTGGGCTTGCCACCCAGTCTACCCCATTCGAGTTTTGGCCTTTCGTGCGCGGACTGTCAGTCCTTCATACTCCTTCTACGGGTCGGTCGTTTCCGGAGCCACTCGGTCCCTTGAAGGAGTTTTCAGCCTTCGGGAAGTCGTCACTCCCAGAGTCCTAGAGTTGGGAATGTACAGTGCATGATAGTGCCTGCATGCATGCATGGACGAAGTGTGCTTTGCATGTCGATGTTGCTGATGCGTATCCTCTCGGCCATGTAGAGCCGGGCGATCTCTCATGATAATCAGATCAGAGACTCGCTTGGCTCACGTCGAGGCATCCGCACGATGCCCAGAAGCTAAGTCGGGCCGTGGGTTTTGGAGAGTCGATTGGTGGGTCAGAGGTCTGTTGTTGGATTTCCTGATCCAAAACGTGTGAGCCGCTACGGTGTCAGGGGGGATCTAGCCTCAGGGACATAGCCCACGATGAAGGACGACTCCGACCTCAAAGACGAGACAGAGCTGGGCCCATTGCAGCAGCCTGCCGAACTTCGACAAGCGAACACGCCGGCTTTGGTGCTCCTGGCAGCAAGCGGAGGAGGCACCACAGCACGGGGCCGAACTCAAGAGGAGGAGAAAGAGCGCTTCCTTCCTCCTACCGGTGGTTGCTTCCGCCACCTCAGTCCCCACAGTCGACTCCGCAGCTGGGCCGCAACTAAAGAGCTCACGGGTGCGGGCGTTAAAAGCTTTGCATCTCTGCCGCTTCGACTTCGAAGGCTCCAGAAACACTCGGCCCTTGACCGCAGAGCGACCGCAAGTGGTGCATCGAGGACTTCTCGGGGGCTCCGTTGAGGGTCAATTTACTGGGAGCATTGCGTGCATCCCACGAAGGAGGCGTCGTTCGACCTTCGACTGCTGGACACGTGTGAGGTCAAACGGTCTCTCTGCACGAACTGCACGCCGTTTATCCAACTGCTTCCAACACTTCCCTGCCTGCCGGAACAAGCCGGAGGAATGGCTCTACTTGTTTGTTTCTTTGTGGACCATCTGGGAAGCTAATCACGAAAGCTGGCCTCCGGGGCTAGCGGAGTTTCTTATCAACCGAAGGTTGCAACAAGGGGTGTGCCACCAAAATTCTGTCAAATGGTGCCGGTTTCCCGAGCTAGACTGCAGCTGCAGCTGCCTTTTGGCCGTGTGGCGGACCCCCTCCTTTTCGGGCATGAAGAGGGAGTGTTTCGGCTTGCCCTGGAATGGAGAAACGAGCCGTCAATGATGCCTATGATGCTGGCTTTTCGGGCCCGGATGATGCTCATGATGCTCGCCGTGCCGGCCCCGCCGGGCATCAATGATGCGCATTCCCCCCCTTAATAATAGGGCTTGGGGGGGCACCGATTTAAAATAGGTGGCCCACGTATTCAAGAAGCGGCCCCCACGTCGAAAAACTAGGGCGGGGATTTGGTGTGTGGGAGGGGTTTCAGGAATATACAGACTTGGTTGCTCTATTTACTATATACTTTTTTGCTACTACACGAAAACCCTCAAATGCTGTCGAGCCGTAGCCGCAGGGCCGAGCTGGTACGCATGCACTGACTGAGCCCTGAGCCCCTGCTATATAGTATAATACAGTCTATAAGCAGGTCGGCCACCTATTTTACTTCGGTAGGCAGGCCGCTTGGATGCCTCGGCTTCTTCACTGCTGCTCTGCCCTAGCTTTCGTCCCAGTCCCTCCTCCACAAGTTGCACCTGCTGAACCTCGAGCTCAGCTTTTTACTCAAGCCATGTCCATATCAACAAGCAGCAACCCTTTTCCACATGCTAGTCTTCCTTCGATTGATTTCGGGTTTATGCTGCCAATCCATGTTCGAAAGCTTTTGCTCGTTCGGCACGATCTCACTTCGCATAGAACTAATCTCAAACGCGAGCCCGCGCTAATGTTGCAGCCTGGGCTAATTTGTGGCCTATTGCCTGCATGGCATCGCTGTATCCCTCATTGAGGCGGGATGCTTATCTGCTAGTGTTGTGAAGCACGCACTGGTCCGAAGTTCCGAAGACAATGCAGACTCTGCAGGAGTCCTTTACTTCCTGGCCCGCAGTCACCTGGAACGCAGGCCGCACAGGCTCTCAAAGACGGAGGTGGGCCATCGTCCTTCTGGCCGTGGGTATGGAAGCACATCTCATAACGCGGCCAGTTCAGCGGCGGCTGCTGTCATGCCAGCTCGAGGATCTGATCTGTGCAGGGACCGACACCAGGCCCAAAGCCCAGGCCCCCAGCCGCCCAGCTCGTGTCTTATGGGTGCCGTGGCCCCAGGTCCACTCCAAAACCCCTCGTCACTGAATTGACCAAGGCCAAGGCTAAGCTGCATCTCACGCAGATTTTCTTTCTCACTGTGCAGGAGCCGGCTCCGCCCGGATTGCTAAAGAATTCGATCGATGGCCAGCGCAGCCCTGCCACGCTTCAGAGCACTGAAGTGCAGATCCTTCGAAAGATTTCGAGTCTCGCGTCACAGTCTCTTCATTCCAGGAGGCCGTCCGACGGAGCGGATTGTGCGGGTGGGGCTCCGCAATCCCTCTCATGGTCAAGCCAGTGTGACGCCCAGTGCAGGACATAGAAGAGCGCAAGGCCAGCCTGAGGACAGTTGAAGTCTTGGGCCGACCGAATCCAGTTTAGGTAGTTTCAGGGATGTGGCCCTCGGAGGAAAGTAGCCAAGCACTCCTGGAACCCCACGACGCCTGCTACCCGGAAACATTCCATCGGGCACTGAACTAAGTCACATTGATGTCCTGTTAGGGATCTGGAGCCGTCCTTGGAAGAGCGGCCGCTTCTGCTTCTGGGAGACTTCACGCCCAAAGATGGTTTGAAGAAGGAGACATTCCGGAGCATTGGTGCCAAGCTCTGATTTCTGCTGCAAGTTGTCAGTGGTGCAGGAGTCGGAAGCAGGAAACTGCGAGAGAAAGATTCTCTTGTGGGTGCGTGGCTTATGGGAATCTGCAGCTGCCTAGATTCGTGACACGGCTGAGGGCTTCAGCAGTTAAGAAGATGGGCGATGTTTGATATAGGACAGCAGGGCTGACCGTTCGCACAGAGCCGTCACGCCCCCTTGCACAGGTGCAGTTCCTAAGCGACTCAAGAAGAGGGGCTTGACGTATTGTTGACTTGTTTTGTGATTGGCCCTGTGACTGTGGTCCTCGCTGCGTCGCTGTCGCGGTCACGTGCCCGCGCTCTGAGGATGAAGGCCGCCGATGTTTCGCATCTCATTGGCCCGCACCTTGGCAACTGCACTCTACACTGTTCAAAGCCGAAGAAAAGTTAGTCGATGGCAGATGTAGAAGTGGATGGCGAAGCCTTGGTAGATTTTTTGTTAAACTTCTGGAGCTTTGACTCAAGTCGTAGATCTCGTAGATGTCTCTTAACAGTTACTACAGGTGCTCCGTTGAATTGCTGAAGTCTGTCTTGTCGTCAGCAGCCAGCTCACCCCAAGGCCGAGTTCTCGTTTCGGATTCACATAGAGAAGGCAAACAGCAAGATGGGCTAGGGAAACTACGTGTGCTCAAGCTACCCATACTGGCCACGAGGGTTGGGCGACAGTTGCTCAACCACAGTATGCCAACATGCGCCAGCCATACCACATTTTGTCTCCTCCCTGCTGCGGCAGCCCCTTCACCCTCGGCCCAGTCCTCGGTCTTGTTTCTTCAGGCCGGGAGCTTTGGCCTCAAGCTTCTGCAGCTATGCTTTCGACCTGCTGATGCAGCATGGGCAAGGGCCCCAGAAGGTCCCAGAAACTCGTGGGAGTGCAGTCGCAGTAGCCAGGCCATGGGAAGCACTGCACAGCAAGAAGGGGCAAGTCACTCGAGAGACCTGTCCGCGCCTTTCCCGGCATAGTCCCTTGCACGTTCAACAGAACTCTGCGTGGTGGACTCAAGGCTGGTATGTTCGAGCAGGCTGTCGATGTGACTATACATACGGCATCGCGAGAGTGGGGAGCCCGTGTGGCCGTATGGCTCTTCTTTCCACTTTCAGGGCTTACGTCTTTTTTTCTCCGCTTGCTGGCCCAGGTCAGAGCCAAGAAGAAGCCTTCAGCCACCTTTCGAGCAGCAAGATTCCCGCTCGCTCCCACGGGCTCTTTGTGGCTCCGGTGATGTCAAAGACAGTGAGGCAATGGAGACGCTGCTTGAAGAAGTGATGAGCAAGGAGCTTGGTCGGTCAGAAGGCAAACTCGATCATCCTTGCAGGGTTGGAAGACCTGAGGTCGGGTTTGTCCTGGGCTACCAAAAGATGCGTGGCCGAATTGTGCAAATCTAAATCTTTACACTGAAGCATGGCAGTCCGTCGGTCCTGGCCTCGATTTGACAGACGCTTCGCAGATCTTCTGCGGTGCTCGCTGAAGGTTGGCACGCAGATGACGAGTCTCTGTTCATGGGTCCCCATCCCTGCATTTGGAGTCCAGATGGCTTCTGTGAGCTGAGCCGCCGTTCTGTCCCAGGCCGTGATCGCGACTGTCCCATCGTTTCAGTGTCCTTGGGTGCCAGACGGGAGAGCTCACCTCAGATCCATGCCTTGCTGAGCAAGTCCTGTCTTCTCACGGTTGGGTTCATAAACTGATGTCGTGACCAGCAAGAGCGACATTAGCAATCGTGACCTGAACGATGAAGCTGCTAGTGATATGAGAACGGGCAATGTCATGCCAACCGCCTCGCAAAATTTGCACTTCCGACAACAGGAAGATCGATGCATTACTGTTGTCAAGCAGCAAGCATCCGACACAGAGACTTGAAACGCCGAGGGTGCTTTTGCTTAATTTTCTGGGATATCAGGTTTTGGCTTGCCTTGCGGCACGAGAACTGCATGGATCCACAGCTAAAGAGTATCGTCGAGGCTGGTGTGCATGCGTCTGAGCACCTCTCCGGATGCAGTTTTATGAGGGGTCGGGGAGATTTTCCAGGAGGTCAGAAATAAGTTGACGTTAGCTGGCAGGTGGACTTGTGTGATGGAGACGTCTTGACAATGGAGGCCGCTTTGGTCTGGAGAGTGTGTGGCATGGCTACGTGCAGAGGGAAGAGTGAACACGTGTCAAGTGCTTGTGGGTACCAATCGACATGGCGGATGAGCGCAGTTTTCCATCGAGGAAGCCAAACAGGAACTTGCAAGAATGTAAAGCTGATCCAGGCAACTGACCGGCATGTGTGAGTGCTTGTTGGTTTAGTCTGGAGTAGTCTTCATACCTAACTTAACCAAACGTCGCTGATTCTCGTGATGTGGATCCGAGTCCATGCATGTCCACAAAGGGCCACGGCCACGTCTGTGGGTACTCCTGACAGGGGCTGTGCCAGAAGCATTGTGTCCACTTCGTGCCGTGCGACGTGCGCAATGTGACACCGCATCCATGGCAGTCCGATGGCCGTTCTGACCTCGCACCCGGGGAATTTCAAGAAGTTAGCCTCACTTCTGCTTGTAACGAGGTGCTCGCATCAACGTTACCTGGCGCTGGATCCGCGATCACAAGCAAAGGTGTCGGAAGCTTGGACTATGGGTGCTCGTCAAGACGGTTGTGTGGAACTTTCACAACCTTTTTCCAAGTTATTGCGCTCAGCCATTGTGCTAATCCTATGATGTCGCTCGGCCAATGCTTGCATCATCAGGTCCGAGGAGAGCGGCTGACGGAGACAATGCCACCGACTTTTACTTCGAAAAACAAGGCTTGGCACGCAAAATCTTCTTTGTCTCGCAGACACTCGGTTTCTTTTGTAGGCCAAGTGCCTTCGGAGAAGAAAGCTTTGTTTGCACATTCGTGGGCTGCAGGCTGAGTAAGAGATTGCGCAGGTTTGTTTCGTTCAAGCAGCGGTGTACCCTTTGGAAAGCATAATGCACCCACTTGTTTGCCTCCGAAGCTTTGCTGTGGGAAGCCAGCGCAAGCCGGCACGAACCCGATGGGAGAGCAGTGTATCTATCTATCTATTTTTCTATCTATCTATTTTTCTATCTATCTATCTATCTATCTATCTATCTATCTATCTATCAACGTATCTATCTATTTATCTGTCTGTCTATCTATCTATCTATCTATCTATCTATGAATCTATCTATCTACCTATCTATTTATCTATCTTTCTGTCTGTCTGTCTATCTATCTATCTATCTATCTATCTATCTATCTATATCTATATATACCGTGCATATCATGGGCGCGACGCACCTTGCTGTATGACAGCGCCCCTCATGGAATAGTGCAAGAAGCCTCATATTGGCAAAGTTTCGTCCAAGGCAGGGGGTCGGGCATTGGCTTGGAGATCCTGTCAAGAATGCGTTGGTGCCCCAGTCATGACAGCAAGGAACGTGAGCTTTGTGCCATTGAAGCTTCAGCACCTGTCAGGACCACGATGCGTGGAAGGGTGGCCGGAATTGCTTGAAGTACCAGTCTGCGCCTTGCGGTGGTGTTGCATGCGTATGTTTTTACGACCACCGAACTTGCTCAGGAAGCAGTGGCTTTGCAGGCAGAGCGAAGCACGAAGACATTAGATCGACTCTCGCCTTGCAAGAGCCCAGATACTGGAAGGCCTTGCTACGAGTACATGCTCACTGGTGCCCGGCCCTTAGTGCCGGCACCATCGAACAGGCGCTACGGCTTTGATGGCCTCTGTCTTCAGGGGCCTCCTCGGGAAAGGCTGCAGCCACCGAGGCAAAGAGGGCAGAGGCGCGCCCAGTGCGGCTCGGAAAGTGCTCGGAATCAAATCGAATGCAGGCGGCCTGACATCTCCATGATCAGAGCTCGTGCACTTCAAGCTGAAGCGGTTGAGGTAGAGGGGCAGAACTTCTCATGCTTGCTAGGGCGCTGTACATGGAGATTCAATGATGTGGCTGTGTCCGTCCGATGTCTTGCAGAGGGCCTGCATGCGCGTGTGCGCGCACTTGCAAGTGCTCGCACCTTTGTGCATGCCCGCACACGCATGCTGTGTTCTCCGCCTCGTGGATTTTTGCTGACACAGAGATGGTGAAGACTGTTGGGGGCGTTGCCTTTTCCTTCTCTTGGTTTGACAATGTAGCAGAATCGTGAATCATGGCTGGATCTGGACTTCTTAAAGTCTTAAACTACAGGAAGGCACGCGCCAAGTTGCTGTCAAAACAGAGCAAGATTTCTATAAGTGCCTGAGTGCATGCCAGCATGCGCTTGTGAGGGTATTCGCCGCGTGTAAGCTTCAGCAGGCGGACGAAGACACAGTGTCTGAAGCAACTCCTGATCCAGCTGATGCGAACCGGCATGCCTCTGAGGGAACGGTGTCTCTTACTGGGCAACTGCAGTGAGCAAATGCTTAGGTCTGCCTGCTCAGTGCAGAGCTCAGCACGTGCTAATGCAAGTATCGGCACAATCCACATTTCTGGGTTCCGATCAAGACTTTCGTAAGCAAAGGAGGGCTGGGCACTCTCGCCTGCCTCCGAACGAAGCCCATGTGCAACCACCCACTCATACCGGAAACCAAGTCAAGTGTTATTATTAGAGTCTTAGAGCGTTTGTTTTGTAGAGTGGATCTGGTGCAATCACCGCGGAATCAATCGAAGCCCCTGGTCAGGATCCAGTGTGCATACAGCTTCCCCCGCACAACGTGCAGGAGTTTTGGCACCTTTGTTGCCGAATCTTGACTGTATTGGGCTCGGGCTGCCAGAGCTTGCAGGAGCAGTTCTGCATGCAGGCGATGAAGGCTTTCCGACTTCGCTGATGTTCACGGTATGGTTGTTGGAGTCACAAGTTGAACTTGTGCTTCAGGCACACATGTGCCTACAGCAACAGCTACAAGTGCAGCACCAGGCCCAAAAGCTCCAATGTGCTTCACGTAAAGCCAGCTTCTGACATGTTTCCTCTGGGAGGCGCTTCGAATCGCCCTTGCGGCTGGCAGCAGGCAGCCAGAGTCGGTGTGTTGAGCCTCGTCCGTAAAAGCCCCCCGGTTCGAGAAGTGATCCCGATTCGCACATCAAGCATGCCAGCAGCGGTTGAAAGACCCGCGCTTCAACCACCAGCCCATTCAAGCACTGGAGTTTAGCGCGAAACTCAGGGCTTGAGGCTTGCGGGAAAGGAGAGCCCAGTCTTTGAACAGTCTTTAGGACACAGGTGGGGTTTGGTGGTCCAGGCAAGCAGAGCCGAGTCTTCAGGGTTTTAAGGTTGAAATTTTAAATGTCTGAGGGCTTTACGATTTGAGGGTTCGGGTTTAGGTTTAGGGGTCCAGGTTTAAGAATTCGGGTTTGGGGTATCACCATGCCAGGAGAGCCGAGTGTCTGTATACGGTTTTGGATGGATGGATGGATGGATGGATGGATGGATGGATGGATGGATGGATGGACAGATGCAGGCCGGTCGGCCGAGCGGGCCGGGCAGTTGAAGCTTCGTGTCCCAAGTCCCATTGCACACGCGGGAGAGTAGGAAAGGACCTTGAGACCGGGATCCAAGCCCACCCTGAGCAGCGGAGGGCGAGGATGCGAGGTTATAGTCAGGGGATGGGTGTGAGTGAGCGTCAGGTCAGCCCGAAAGTGCGGAACCCCGACACCTTTCAGGCTGCTCCGAGAAGTTCCGAGACAGGAAAAGAACGTCTGCGTTTTTGGGTAATGCGCCCCCTCGAGGCGGTCTGGTTACATCGACGACCGCGCCTTTTACCACCTTCGATGAAACCTGCAGCTTCTCGTTGTCGCTGGGTTCCTGGACAAGTGCTCGGTGGCCGCTCCTCGGCCCAATTTGGAGGCTGAGGACCTGGCGAAGCAAGTCGGTTTCGCGACGACCTGCAACATTGAGTTACTTGGCGTGGTGGTACCGCTTGAGGGGCCGTGGAAGTGAAGCTTTCCGGAAAACGAGACGAGCCAAGTTACGCCGTAAGCTCCTGCAGAGGACAGGTGCGCGGTGGGCACCACCGCCTTGTGGTGGCGGTAGTGGTGACTCCTTGTTTTACCTGGGCTTTGGTTTTGCTTCGCTCGAGACCGCGGCTCTCCACGACCTGAAGAACGAGGTGGTCATTGCATTTCCTGCATGTCTTCAAGCTCGATGCGGCCCGGGCTTTTTCGGGACTTTGGGCGGCGAACGTCACCTGTTTGAGAATTCTGGAAAGCTGCGGCTGCTCCCCCGGATGGACACTCTCCCTCTCCTTCTGTGCCAAGGCGATGAGGCGACTTCGCTTCGGACACGAGTTGTTTGCCGAGCTCACACCCTGGCTAACTCAGGTCTTTCGGGACAACTATGAGGAGCTCCAGCCAAATCAGTCGACGACTCCGCAGGATGACCCTCGCTGCTCTAGCCCAGCCCTTGGACCTGCCGACCCCACCGAGAAACCGCAATTTGTCCTTGGACGGCAAGTGTGCGACCTGGGTGTCTGGAGGCACGGCTTGGCATCACGACGACACTTACGATTGTGTGAAGCGCCTTTGTGGAGTTACTTGGCTCTCTCGACTCTCGACCCCACTTGCTCTGGAAGTGTCCGATCGCACAAGACCTGAGGAACATGCTTGCTACACCCCGTCATTGTGCTGTCAAACAGATGCTCCTCCAGGAAATCGGTGAATGCCCGGCTGCTCCACGTGTTATTGACCATATCCGCTTCAAGAGGAGCAGCAGGATGAAGTCCGAGTGTTTTGTGGTAGAGCACCCGTCGTCTACGTCGGCGTAGACGGCTCCACTGGCGAAGGGGTGGGGTGTCCTCTTGGGACTCTAGGGTTTCACCGGAAACCTTCCAGACGAGGACCAGTCTTCATAGTTACATGCAGCCAAAAGCTGCTGGCTCTACCCCTGGCTGTCAAGGCCGCCAAGGTCGTTGCCGAGACGGAGTACGACGGCACCTTCATTTTTGTTGGTGATTGTCAGGCTATGTTGCTCGTTGCCGACTGTCAAAATGATGTGTTTCCTGCCTCCTGACATTGAAGCTTCCGTGGCCGAACTTGCGGCTCCAGATAGAAATTGCTGGTTCTTCGGCTTAGGGTCTTAGAATCGTGTTTACAGGGGTAGAGGGTTTAGGTTAGGCTCTGTAAAGTTTTGCGTATCAGCTTTTGCAGGGAGCCAGGATTTTGGGGCACTGATTTGCGGGTTTCGGGTTTGTTGTTGTAGAGCGTTAGGTTTTAAGCTTACAGGTCTGCTGGTTTTGAGGCTTCGGGTCGGCCGGACCAAGGGACATCCTAGTCCTGAGCCCAAGCCATTCTTCCCGGACCTGATTCCGTTCAACCCTGGTGCGGGAATCGTGTCGGCTTTGTGGTTGGTGCTCCAATCTCATGAATGCGCAACCCACCCAGTGCGCGACTCCGTGGCCCCGGTGCGCGAATCCTTCGCCTGCGCGTGAATGATTTGTTTCCAGTGCGCGAGTCCGGCTTTCCGCCTCGTCACGACGATCTCTGGAAAGGACTGCTTCCCAGTAGCAGTGTCGCAGCTTGCACCTTGTTCAGGCCGTGGCCATGGTCGCTTGAAGCGCCTTCGGTGCATGACCCAGCGGCACGCAGACTGATCGGAATCAAAGTCAAAGCACAGCAAATTCAAAGGATGGGCAGCCTTATGGCCAGAGAAGTACACCGCAAGTGTTCTAGCCTTACAGAGGCCCAAGTTGCTGCACAACTAACAATTCATCTTCTCTGAGGGAGTTTTGTCGTATGGAACCAAGGTCATACTACCCTGCGGCAAGACGGTCGTGCGGTGAGCACGGTGGGAATGTTGCGGAAAAGCGAGCGTGCCACTAGCCCTATCTTAAGTTTTCGCATGCTGTGTGCTGAGGCTGAGCTGTACATTAGCATGGTGACCTGCCGATGCTTGAGAATTCAAAAACACACCGGGCACGCCGGAGCATCTTTCCTGAACACGAGATTTGTTGTTTACCCAACACGTGTTTGTGGGCAGTGGCATCTCTGTTGCAGCAGTGTCAAGTATCGCTGTGCACAAGTCAAAGTCGATGCAACCTACAAGCATGTGTGGTAGAGCACGGCCACCTGCTGCAATGGGGTGGAGACTCCTTTCTACAAATCTGTGGCTCTCGACCGAGTGGTGGCTGAAGTGCGATAACATTGCATCGCCTGGCTGGTCTTGCGGAGGCTAGCAGCCGCGCAGCAGTTTCCAACGAGTGGGCATTTGCCTCAGTTGCTGAGTGGATGGGTTTAAGTGCTCTGTGATACATAGAGTTATATGAATTAAGTTCAGCTCCAGAAACAGCTACTGTTGCAGTCGAGCGAACCGTGCGCAACGGCACGACGGGAGGTGGCGGAACTGAACGGAAGCCAATGTCGCAAGCACCGCCGGGAGTGATCGGATCAACTGGCGCTTTGCAGCCTCTGCGCCTCGTGCTCCGTGAGAACACTCGCAAATTGTCATCAAGCTCTAGACGCGACAGGTAAGTGTCAGGACATGCCTGGTTCGCTAATATGTCGCAACCAGCATCAGCAGACCGTCGGAGAAAGCATCAGCATTGCCCAGAGATGGACACTGGCGTTTACCGAGTTGTTTCGAGTCCATTGAGGGCCGGCACAGTGATTCGATGAGTCGCAAGCATGGAGTTTTGTACCAGCTGCTGGCAAGGCTGTAGGTTGGCTCGCCATCTGTTGCAGATTGACATGAAATCAGTCAGGACATGGACGTACGATTATTCGCAGCAACAGCCCGATGCTCAGAGAGTAAATGGGAGCAGTTGGGAGTCGAGATAGTGACAGCAGGTAGCCCCAGGTAGTCAATTCTCAGGGGCCACAGGACGTCGGCAACTGTCATGTGCGCAGAACAGACGGTGTGCCGCGAGGCTCATGAATTCTATGGGAAAGCGCGCAGATTCTTCACTGAAGTCCGGCGTCACGGCATGTTGAAATTGTCTAGGAATGCAGGAACCAGCCCCGAGCTTGTCAAAACCGCTCACGAGCATGTATTCACAAAATCGGTCTCTGAAGTTGTGAAACTGCTGCAGCAAGCGCGGAAGCTTCGATGAACACCCCTGTAGCTGAGGGTCCAGGTAGGCCAAACCAATATTGCGAGACCGGAGGTAGACATTGGCTCTCCATGTCAAAACAGGGTGCAATTATTATGCAGCTTAGCGTGGCAGCGCAAGCGCAAGAGTTTTCTGCCACGATCCATCTTCAGCTCGAGCTCCTTTGGTACTGTCTGCATGCAGCAACTTGTAAGATACTGGAAGAACATCGTGGGCACGGAGTGTGGGTTGAACTTGCTCGCTTGACCGGGCTGTTCTAACTTGAAGTTGTGCGATTTGATTTGAAACCGCTTGGGACTGCCAGGGCAAACTACCAGTCGCCCATTGACATTCCCAAGCCATGGCCTTTGATTGAGTTGGAATTCCTTTTGTTATGTCGTTGTTCGTGATCCCGCAAGAGCCAAGGGCACTTAGCTATGTCGACCATGCGAACCTCACGCACACCGTCTATTCTTAAAGCCACGGTCTGCAAAGATGAGCTCGCCGGCGTTCGAAGACCGCATGCTGAAGGGGTTTACTGACATGCCAGGAAGCTGGCGACAGGACCACGCCCTGCAGATGCTTGCGGTTCCGACGCAACCCCACATGCCCGAGCGAGCCGACGTTATTGCTTTGGATGTGATTCTCCGGTCACTGCGTGAGCTCCTGGGCCAATCCCAGGCAGAAATCAACATGACACAAACGCAAAAATGGACTCAGCGGAACGAGCACCTGTCTGCAGGCAGAGGAGCAGACGCCCAAGCTGGGCAGTTCAATGTCAAGTTTGAAGGCTGTACACGACCTCAATGATGGGAAGCAGTGGGGATAAATAATGTGTGAATCTGAACGAGATGCTTACGAGAACCCATCGTGCGGTGTTTCGCCAGAAAAGTCATGCGTTGTCGAAAACCTGCAGCAGGCATATACGTCCAAAGCGAATCAGCCACAACATTGCACTAGTTACACATGTTTCGCTTCTCTGGAACCTCAGCTCCAGAGAGAAGTCAGGCATAGCGTCACCTCCAACAAGAAGGGTGGGTAGGTGAATAATGATTAATGCAGAGCAATGGGAGCCCCGAGTGTAGTATGCCCCTGAGCCACTGACAAAAGCAGCACTTCCCGGCGATCTGAACTGTTTTTCCAGCCTTTCGCACGCAGTCATGTAGTTCTTTTCGAGTTGCCAGCAATTCCGCCGCAGGAATTGGTGAACGTCTTGGGCCTTTCGCAGTTTCCCTAGCAACTGAAGCGGTTGGTCAATTTGCTTCTGTCCATGCTGGCAGCACGGTCCCAAGGCTTGGAGTCTGGCCGCACAGACGGTGAATGTCACGCTGCATCCAGGACACGCTGTTCCACATTTTTCGTATCTGCAAAGCCCAGTCTAGACGCTGCATGTGAGTCCTTTGCCTGTCGAGGGCCCTTGACATGGGAAGTGAAACTGGTGAACCCAGAAGCTATAGTGGTTCAAATAGGAGGCGCCCGGGGCTGTGTTTTGCCAGAGCTCCACTGGAGACACCTTCCTTCGTTCAGGTTTGGACTACTCGCTTCAGTCTATGAGCTTCAAGTCGCCCTCGGAACATACAGCCCGAAACCCCTAGAGCTGAGACTCGCGGCGGCCGGTTTGCAGCTACGGCCGAGGTGGAGGGTGCACACAATGGTATGGAGATCCAGATGCGGCATGTGGCAAAGAGCCCTTTCGGAGCTTGCTTCTCAGTTTCCAAGCAGTGCATTCAACCCAGCGGAAGACCTTTGCATGCGACGGTGACGTCCCTGCAAGGGTGGAGAGAAGGTGCTGATGGTTTCCATTAGCCTCCGGCTAGCTGAGAACGTCAATGCCGGCAGCTCAAGCCGGATCTTCGCCTCGTCTCGCAGAAAAGGCCCTGGACGAGGTTGGCAATGCTTTTCTGAGCCCCATTTTCTCAACTATGCCCTTGGATGGTCAAGGGGCGAGACTCCCAGAGGCGACAGGACTCTGGCTGGGCAGTTGCAGTGCGGCAGTGACATGGTCAGTCCCCTTGAGTATCACAGAGGCTCCGTCCGTGTTCATTGCCAACCCTTACTTAGACCTTGCTCCTCCGGAAGCTTGGCAGCTGGCAGTCAGATGTGGTGACAGAGTGAAAGCGATCCGTTTGCGGACGAGTGCTGCGTTGGGACAAGGACAAGTCCTACGTGCGGTACTCCGGATCGACCACCGTGAGGGGCCCTGCGCAGCTCTGTGAAGCTGATGGCGGAGTGTGCAGTGCTCCAGTGAGGCTCCGCCTTGTGAGCATGCTGATTGGATTGTGCAGCACCAAGACGATCTTTTGCCTTCCTCTTGGTCGCTTGGTGGTTCTCTGGGAGTTTTGGAGTGCTTGGGGTGCTTCAGGTCTTCATGGAGCCGGGATACCTCGGATTCCAGCAGCTCGAGCAATTCCGATCCAGTGCCGTGCCTAGAGTTTTTCAGAAGCGTGGGTGAGGGTGACTTGATTGATCCACAAGGTATCAGTGGATACCAACCCTCCAGACTGGCACCCGTGCGAGCCTAGTCCAGGGGTCCAGAGTATCGGAGAATAGACGGCACTGTCTGTCAGAGGCGAACAGCACCCCACCACTCGGCGTCTCCGAAGCTTGGGACAGGTCCGCTCGTCAGAATCGGTTTTTCAGACTCACTCTGACTCTCGTTCCAGGTTTTTTCTCTCAGACTAGGGCGGCCGAAAGCCAGAAGACAGTCTAGTTATGGAATGCTCCGGCCGCTCCTTTCCCACAAAACTCTACGGCTAATACCTGGCGATATTCGTCTGCGGTTGTATGATGTACATAGCCTAGCGACTGAAAAGTTCTGTCTCTGAGTCGGTGGGGGCGAAACAATCGCCTCGCGCAGGCATGGAGCTCGGAGCATGTCCAAATGTGCAGTGTTGAGGTGTGTCCTGTTTGCTGTTCCGTCCGTCTGAGGATCTGGAATTTCGTGAGGTTCAAATGATACAGATGATGAATGTTGATGCAAGTGCCGTTCCAAAGCTGACGGCATTCACAGGTGGACATCCCCCCGACCATTTCATTGTGATGTGGTGCATCTTGGAAAGACTTCTGCTGGGTCAGTTGCAGGCATGGCAGGAAACGCATCCTGGCAGCAGCCTTGCACCCAGCCACCGCTCGTCAAGCTCCGTAGCGTTTCCGAAGCTTTGTGTCCACTGGAGCGGGGCCGAGGCTGAACATTTACTGGATCATTGCCTTGACACTTCTGGCCCAGGACTAAGCTGTTGTGGACGAAGCAACTCTCTTTTCATGGGGGCGTGTACTGATGAAGGTCCTGGCGTGCGTCATCTGCGGTGTATGGTATCTTGGCGCCAAACAGAAGCCTACATGCGTATGCATGCATCTGCGGGCGATTTGATGAGGCTGCTCAGAGCACAGCTCTTTCACGAGGAGGCCACAATTTCTCATTGTCGTCTAGTACATGTCGGCAAGAACTCACATCTGCCGAGGAGTATCCAACTGGAATGTATGGATCTGTTCTCATCAGCTGCTTTTCCTTCGCTTCATCTTCTTGGCATTTTGCTTCACTGCCGAGGTAGGGAGCTTCGGAGCAACGGTTGCTGTGAAGTTTCGGATTCTGAAGAAGACATGCCGTCAAGTGCTCAGGGTGAGGGGTGAACATGAACATGACTTTTCCGTCCCATTCGCCGATTCAGGTTCCAGCCATATGCACCACATCCGGGGCAATGGCACATGCCAGCGCCATCCTACCTAGCACCCTTCCCAGAGCAGTGCAGACCTTAGGACTTCAGTTTGAAGTACTCGCATAAGAACCGTTGGAGTGACGGAATCGTGGGACGACAAGGTACATGCATGCTGCACCTGCGAGAGCTGGCTTTGGCAAACAGGACCGGCGGACAAGGGTTGGCCACTGCATGAGTGTCAGTTGTGCTGCTGGAGCAGGATCAAATCTACATCGCTTGAGGAAGAACACTGCCACCCGTGCAGCTTCTTCCACCCTGTCCAGGCAAAGACCTCAGACAACTACCGCCATGCACTTCGGAACACTCTGCACTCCGGACTGAGCTTCTACACTTGCTTTCTCCGGCATATTTGATTCATGGCGTGTTGATGGTGTTCTTGTGCAAGCCCCAACGTAGCATGCACCACGGCTGAAGCGCGTCACCGGGTTGCAGATTGCTGCAGTGTGTGATGATCCGTTCGATGCACCTTGTTCGACGACTTGGGCGACACGTGGCTCACTTTTCACGCATCGGGTTTGCATCGATACAAGTCCGCCTCGTCTTTCGTCGCTTGGCCAGACCCTCTTCGATGTGCCCAGGCCGAGACGGAGCACCCACGTTCGCATGTTTTTTGAGAGACACGCAGAGAGCCTCTGAGTCCGAGCCGCCACCGCTCACAGGATGTGGTGGTGCGCACTTCTGCCCTTTCCGTGCCTTCTGGCACAACATGTAACGTGTGCGGCGTCGATGCTCACTCAAAACAACCTTGCGAATCATCAGGTTCTCATCCCACCACGCATTGGTTGACCTCAAGTGAGTATAGCGTCCTCAGCAGCACAAGAAGACTGAGCACGGTGAAAGTTCCGCAATAGTGCAGAAGGGGGACAAGATAAGCCCAAGGATCACATTCCCACGTAGCAGCTTTTACGGCTTTGCGATGCGGGCGCTCCGCTTCGTGCGGCATTCGGCTCTGTGTCCCAGCGGAACTGTCAGCTCGGAACTCAGCCCCAGACAGCAGACAGCTGCAGAGTATGCTCGAGACGATTCAGGACGTGGGACTTCGAGTTTCTCATTCCCTTGCGCGGTCTCTGCCGTGAAGGTTGAGGTGCAAGACACCTTACACGTCTTCCATCATTTCAGTGAAGTTCAGGTTCGAGTCGGAGATTTGGTGTCTGATGGAGGCGGAGATTCCGAAGGTGAGGCATGCGATTGGAGAGCGGCCTTGACTAGGATTCAGTGATGTCATCGTGAACTCCGCCAACGAAACGCTCGAAGGCCCGTTTGCTGCTCAGATGCTTTCGACACTGTTTTCAGGCTTGCCGGTGACGCACATGCGAGGGACACGTGATTCTTGCTGGAGGCTTTTTCCATACTTCCCCATCGGTGTGTGCCACAGCATGTGTGTCTGTCATCAGACATCCTGGGCAAGTTTTTATGCTGCCATCAGCAATGGTGTTAGGTGCAGAGTGTGAGAGTGGTGACGTGTACTACCAAGATGACGTGGACCGAAGCTGAGATGCAGTCTTGACCAATGCAGCTAGCTCGTAAATGTGGACAGCTGCATGAAGCATGTTCGGAACGGCTGCAAGTTGCGAGTGAGGTTGACGGCCGAATCCACAAAGCTGGTGGCCCCGCATTGGGTCGCATCCTCACTTCATGTGCGACAATTTCAAGGCTGTGTCTTTGCGTGCTGCCAGCTCTTGCGCAAATCAAAGTCCTTGTCTAGAGCTGATGCAGCAGAACACTTCCTCACATGACAATAAGCTTGCCATGCTAGCCACCTGCGCTGCAGGTCGACTCTGCAGGCGTCTTCCGGAGTTGCTGGAGACTTAATTACCTTTGATTCCTGAAGAGACGTTGGCCCGTTGGCTCTTACACTCCAAGGCCGCCGGAAGACGACCCAGATGGACCATTTCCAAGTCCCTACACACAGCGATGCGAGATCGGAGGCGCTCGCTTGACAAAGGCGGAGACCTCTGGATCTGCGGAGTGTGCAAAACTGTGCTCTCGTATGTTCTCAGAGGTGCCCGAGGGCGGCGAGCTGGCAGCTGGCTCGATTTCAGAAACTCTTTCTGACTTGGCCGCGACCCCTGGAATTTCGGAAGGTCCAGCACTGCCAGTATGTCGCGCATGCTGTCGTGCCAATCTGGGCAAGTTCCTCAGAGGTGTCGACTATTTTGCGCAGACGTACGCTTAGATGCTTAGCTTTCGCAAAGGGGACGGACACACTTTCGCAAGGCCGGAGATTTGGACTTGGAGGAGCAGAACCAACGGCTTAGCCTACTAACAAAGGCTCATGTGCCAACCGATGCTAATCGACCACGTGCAACGTGCTGCTGAGAGGCATACGCCTCTGCTTTTGCCGCTGCCGCAAGCTCGAGCAGTCCCGTGTTGGCTACCCAGTGCGTATGGTGTGATTTATGGGCGTTAGTTTCTTTTTTGGTGCGTGTGTGTTTCATATTTAAATCGCTTCGCGTCGTCCGCCTCGGCCCGGCTGTACTTGAAATCGAATTCGCAAATGCTGTAAGCTAGCCCATCTCGGCCTCGCCGTAAGCAAAAAGCATAAGCAAAAGGCAAGGAAAGCCGGGGGCCAATGTGAAGTCCAATTTTTTTTGGGGTGAAACATTGAATGTTACACATCCAGGTGCCTGTCTGTTTCACATATCACTTGCATGTATCCATGCCTGTTGCTCAAGGTTCTAGCAGAGTACGATCTACAGCTGTGCGCCTTCAGTAAAAACAGACTCCTGCGTTGCATGTGTTCCTGTGCGCTTTGCGAGGGGATACACGCCCAGGCTACATCTCAGCCTGGTAGCGGAGCTCCCGGGAATGCCCGGTGTGCTTCACTTTAGTGAAGGTGACGAGAGCTTTTCTCCGTTATACTTCGCTCCTGTGAAGAGAACCGGAAGAAGACAATCCCGGGCCTCGTTCCAGGGACAGCGCAATGGCTAGCCTATCTGCAGCAATGAACTTCGAGCATGGTGATGGAGACGAAGATTACCTCCCAAACGGGAATGAATCTTATGTGACGAATCACCATCATATCCAGGAACTGCAAAGACTTTCTGCATTCCAGCAGGTGACCACCAAAGTGCCGCCATTGTATGATATTTGAAGCAGTTGGTTCATGCGATCGATGATTGGTGTGACGTCACTGCGCTAGATGGAGACAAGCGTGGACCAGCACTCAGAAATCGGCTGCCAGTAGAAGGTGAAGCTGCAATCCACAAGAGGCTCCTGGACAGAGATCGCCTGAAGGACCCGAACAACGGAGTAAAGTACTTCAAGAGTTTCCTAAGGCCGCTC